TTAACCCCCTCCCCCCAATCCATCCACCCACCCCATTCCAATCCCAGGTAAAGCTCACGCGGGGAAGTGACCTTCTAGAACATCCCAACAACAGCTGCCTGCCGCAAACAAACCGCTCCAATCCCGTTCCAGCCACAATCACTACGAAAACAGAAAAGAAAAGAGGAAAAAAATCACGGGGACATACACACACCATCTACGGTACAGTCGCACCTCGTTATAAAGAACGCCAAGAGTTGGGGGGGTTTTGTTCGTTATAACGAGGTTTTGGCGTGAATTCCTTATAGCGAGTACTGTTTGTATGGGAGCAGGGGTCTTGATTCCCGTACGATTCATTCGTAATGGCGAGGTTTCTCATACAAAGAGGTCCATTATAGCGAGGTGCGACTGTACTCGAGTACAGTACCGGTACATGGGGCACCGTAACATACCGGCATCCACTGCCAACTATCACTTGTGTGCTTGCCTCTTGGTGAAACATTGCATCGCTATGTAAGGAGAGAGGGATGAATCATGGGATATGGTGGTGTGGAAGGGTGTGGTTAGGGGGAGAAAAAAAAAGAGAGAAGGAAAAAAGAGAGAGAGAGAGAGCATAGGATGCACACTCCCAGGGTGCCGTTGGTACAGGAGTGAGTCTACACAGTACGAGTACATACGGAGGATGAGGGTACTCGAGTAGAGGGAATCGAAGAGGAGCCAAAGGATGTACTCGTACAGTACTGTAAAATACCGGTACGTCAACATCTTCCACTCGCGAATGAGCAAGCAAACATAATTCCTTCACGCTGGAGAGCACAACATGCACAAGGCCCTTCAATCGATATCATCCTCGTAGAGGACACATATTGCTGGCTGCTGGTTTATAGTTCTTCCTACTTTAGTACTGCACCACCACGGTACCCGTGGAACTAACAAAGAATAAAATAGACCCTGAGATATTTTTATGACTGTTACATAGATTTAAGTTACCACATCGCACCTACCGGTGCGTGTATGATAACAAATTGTTAGTGACAGGTGATACCGGTACGAGAGTTTAATCGCAATTTCCATCATGATTGCGTGGTGCCTCCTCATCTATCACCTCTTCCTTCCTCCTCTTTCTCCTTTCTCCTTCTCCTCTCCCTCATCCTCTTCTTCCCTATCCCGCTCAGCGGCACATATTTTCGTTCCCCCGCCCCCTCCCTCCGCTTCTCAGTTCAGCTCAATCTGCAAGTCACTCGCAAAACTCTATCCAAATTTCTCACCGCCAGCCAGCGAGAGTACAAATTATTATTTTTTTCTTTTTTCCTCACCCGAAAAAAATCTAGCCGACACCTTGCAAATTTCGAAACGGAATCCGTGAGCAGCTCCTCGCTACCAAGAAGGGGCGGTAACGCTCAAAATGGATGTTACGATATGGTACTGCGGTATGATAACGGTACCGACGTTTCTCTTTTCTCACTCTCTTCCTTCCTTCCTTCCCCGTCAATGGAGTATGGGGGCCGACAACATGCATTCCCAGGTTGGAAAGGCTATATAATCCCTGGCTACGGTTATGGATGATGGCAAGCAAATTCAGGTGGTTGGGTGAAAAGAGTAAGAGACAAAAAAACTACAAACAACTACAAAAGGTAAAATCAGAAGAAAGGCCATCAATGGGTCATAACTACCGATGACCTAAAATATAAAGTTCATGCTCCGAGGAACTAACAACCTACGCGCTCTCGCCTTATGTCTCCCCTTGCAATTTATCTCATATTTCTACTTTTCCCCATGTAACTCGGCGAATGCATAGCAACACCCATTCTCATACCGTAGTGTCGTCCTGATAGGCGGATCCTGGAACTTGTTCATTGTCACATGTTATCAGAAATTCCCCGAGAATCGCAACAGAAGGTTCGTCGCCTGGGTCCCCCAATTACCAGAAGGATGCGATTTTGGGCTTACCGGCAGCGGTAGCTCCAGTGCCCCGAACTCTCTGCTTCCCGAGGCGAGAATATGCAGTTTCAGACGCAGCTGCATCGCCTGGCACGTTTTATGCTCGCAATCGGCGCGCCAAGAGTCAGCTCGGCATAAGAGAACTCTGACACACCCATGTCTTCTGTTCTCACCCACTCTGTCAATTATCTTGTTAGAGTTAGGGATGCTGGTCTGGCTGTTGATATCTACCTTCTCCAAGCAGGTATCCGATTGCTGTCATCAGAGGCTGACGGCAAGGACATGTATTTTCTCCAGATGGATTTGGATATGGGCTAGGTTGTGTGTGATTCGCTTGCTACTTCGTCCGGGCCATTGACCTTAACTTCACCAGATTACACGTTGCCATCATTGTCTCCACGAACGACTTGCGTCATATTTGATGGCCCCCTTTGGGTCAGACAGTAGAAGAATCAATGGGGCCTCATCAAAGTCCGATTGAATCCCCGCCTCTTTTTTTCTTTTCTTTTGGCTCGGCTATCTTCAGTTTTGGTACTTGCATCTGGTTCTATCGCCTTCGGGAGGGTGGTGGCGCTGAGCAAAAATACGGGTCAGAGCCAGCTTCTTGTTATTTGCCAGCAATGAGAATCTCAGAATGCAAAGGGCCCTGGTTTTGCGAACCGGCGGTAGACCGGAGCTTTTCTATGTGGATTCTCCAGTAAATTGTGCTGCTGTCGCATGCGGTGTCATTTGGCTCGTCGTTGCCAGTCTGACTGGTCCCTGTTCAGGTATCACCTGTTCAGCATACGATGATACAACTGGATAAGTGACAGAGCCTATTAACAGAGCCTCTTTGTTTGACTTAGCAGGAGACCTTCATCTCTTTTATCTCCCATTGCCCGCTTCCGCAGAGCCTGGGCATATGTCTTGGGCACATGAATTCGGGTGTGTTAGGATGCTATAAGGCATACTGGTAGTCTAGACATTATCTCTAAAACAGCTACGATACTAGAATTGTTCAAGGGAAAAAAGAAAAAAGAAAAATCCCGGCAACATTCCTTGTGAGGGCCCAGGAAATTTCGCTTGCCGGTACTTTTATGTTCATGCACGTACTTGTTTCCGTTCTGTTTGGTGAAGCAGCAGCACGGGATATACAATTGGTGGTGGATGGTGATTGCTGGGATGGTGATTGGGAGTGAAATCTGTATCATATGTCTACACAAGATAGCTCGTGACAGAGAAGGAAGGGGGAATTTCAACCAAAGTATCGTGGCTGGCAACATGACGAACAGTGTGATTTCGGCGGACCTCAATGTCCTGTATTGTCTTGGTCCAAGTTAGAATCGTGGTTTGGGTGTCTGGATGACCATTGCCTTGCGGCTCGTCAAACCTTAGACTATGGAGTCCACTACGGTAGATACAGGTGCCAGTACATGGTCTCACTACTGGGCGCAACGACCTAACTTAAAAGGGGCTGCTACTCCTATACTCGTATGCAGAACACTCTCCGGTTCTTTGCACTACCTTGCATGTAAATGCAGAAGCAGAACATCCTATGGCGGTCTGTGGGTCAGCTGTGCACTCGAGTACCAATATCCCGGGGACCGATTCCCGAGTGATCCGCTATGCGTGACAACGATTTAGTCATCAGCCTAAATCCTTAGTTCAGCATAGCCTGACAAGCAGGTTCGCATGTGACATCATCAGTTATCAACCACCACTAGTCCTCGCATCAAAGCTCCAACTCTGTCCATGCTTTTCCCCAATCGCGAGATGGCCTCCACACAAGCTTCTGGGGGGGCGTTCCTTCCTCCATCACTCCCCTCGCCCGCCCCGTCCGACGCATCGGGCGTCTTCTCTTACCGCCCACTACCCCACCCTCGTCCTAGTCCCCTAAAACCCGGCTCTCGACCGGAGAACTCGCTGATTGCTTTTCTCGACCACGAGCTCTTGCAGGTTTCTCGGAAATATGCGAAGAAGTTTAATGATGGGGGGTACACTGATGCTGCGGAAATAGCCGATGACCTGGAGGAATTGGTGGACTTGCTGTGGGTTTCTTCCACCCGTAGGTCAAATTCTCCTTGCCCCGTTCGCTCGTTTGTGCCAATGGCTAGGCTATTCGGTACTGCATCGGTATATACCGTATGGCGCTCCCTGGACAATTGTACTCGAGTGCTCGAGTACAATGGTGGTGAAAGGCTCCATTGTTTTGTTTTTTCCCCCTTTGGGGAAGTAGCTAACCAATTTGCAAACCTCATAGCATCGCTGCAAACACAGTATCTTTTACAAATAGCAAACTCGTTTAACGATTACATATCTTCATTCCCTCCAAGGTTTGAGTCGACTTTAGGATTGCTTGACAAGCTTGATCGATGCTTCCACTCGTTGATCACTGGATCGTCTGCTAATTCCTATGTTCCGCCATCTCCGGCCTTGTCTGGTAGCAGGATGAACATGACTGAAAGGGTTAGACTCAAGAGCGTTATTGAGAGGACGAGGCTGCATGTTGTTGGTCTAGCGGAAGGAATGATGGAGGTCCCAGATCTGCCCGCGGGGGAAGACGTGCCGGGTGTGGGAGATCAGGAACCTGGGAATTCGCCAGTAGACGCTCTGGATGGGAATTCCGAGGAGGGGGGTGAGGCTCTGGAAATAGAGTTGTCAAGGGTTTATGAGAGAAGTCTAGTAGAGATCGGGGAGAGCTTGAAGCGGGAGGAGTAGGGTTCTACGAGTATGGCGCGCACCTGTACCAGTATCTGGAATACTTATATTCGTTGTGGGTAATGTAACTATGAGTAATTGCACTGGGTATTGTAAAGCGATTTTTCGTGCGGTATCAGGTGGACCACATTTTATTGTTATAGTGCTGGTATCATGCTGTATCATAGCTGCCTTGTAGATGGTGAGTTGCCAGTGTGGCTAGTGAGCCTAACAACCTGAAGTGGCTGGTGGGGAGCGGGGACTCAACGGTCTAGAAAGGCAGCAAGCAAACAGGCTGGTTTCTGCACAGTTGCGGCTGCTGCTGTCAGACGCTTTAGCTGTGTGCTACACACCACCACCTCAAACCGGGCTTTCACTAACATTCTACTTAATTTAATTTGTTCTTTTCTTTCTTTTATCCTTGCCTCAGTTTCTTTTTTTTTTGACCCGCTCCGTTTCGTCTAAACCCCCGTTAACTTCTAATCGCAGCCGCCTCCGGACAGATCCATAATCCACTGGGAGATTGACCTTTTGATCTGCTTGGAAACAGTAACTTGTTAGATGTTACTGAGCGACCTTTGAACGATTTGCTCGACTCCTGTTGGGGTCCACTCATTGAATCACGAGAGCCTTGTATTGTACTGTACACATCATCCTGCCTCGACCGAACAACTTAATCTCAACAAACTCGTCGTCAAGTATCCGGCTGTTTGCTATCATACCATCGAATCAACCAGTTCGATTCTTATTCAATAATGTCTGCATTACCTCCTTTAAAGCGGAGACCGACTGTCCTTGTACATCTACCCCCTTCCCTATCCCCTCAGTCATGTTTCCTATGTGGCTTACTTGGCTGTGGTACAATGTAGGTTACGGACACCCGGGACTCTAGCGCACGAAGCCACCCCCCACCTCAACGCCGGCCGTCAGCACCGTCGATCCCATCCATGGTAAGGCTCATAAGCGTCGACTCGGTCCTGCAAGAGTCTTCACAAATACCGTCGGGCCAGAGCCGCAATCCGCTAGCCCGGGCCCGCGGGGCTCCAGCCTCCCCCTCCTGCCCAACAACGCCGAAGCCCTCAGATCCCAGGCGGTTCCTCGGCCAGAACTTACCTGTCCGGTCGTCGAAACTTTCGGAAAAACTCGTGCTGCTCCCGGAAACCGAGGAGGAGGCGAATCGCTGGGGGTATGGCGAGGACGACACCGAGGACGCGCCAATCAAGGACGACGAAGAAGAGTGGAGGAGTAGGCTTGAGGGGGATGAGGAGTCGCCGGAGCAGCCCCCCAGGAAAAGCTATGCTGAACGGTTACCGAAGTCTCGGAGGGCAGATAAATTGAGCCGGGTTACGGCTTATTGCACGGCTGATGCATACAGGCTCAATGCTACATCGAAGTTTCTTAGAGAGAAGCATTCGGCCCGGACGAAGCTGTATGATGAGTGTCTGTATTGTGCATATCACCTGCCGATAATGTCCGGGAATGATGGGTATAGGGTTCGCTCTTCGCCAGTATTGAAGAGCCCCGGCGGTAAGGCTGTCCTGGACGTACAGATTGAGAGGTCTGAGCAGAGGGATTATCACGAAGGGTACTTTGAGGATTCATATACCGGGGAGAGGCGGACAAGTGGTGATGGAAGCTATGAAGAAGATGGGCATCCAAAATCTCCGGGGAAAGGCCATGGATTTCCACAGGATGGGAGAGATGACCATCATACCTACAATCAAGGATACAGGCCGGAGAGCCCAAGGGATTCGAATATGAATGACATGAAGGCCTTTGCTGAAATGTTTGTCTTCAACTACGGAGTTGTAGTTTTCTGGGGTTTCTCTGAGAGACAGGAGAAGGTACTGGGGACACAGCCTATCGGCCTATCACTTGTTATCCATCCATACTAACTAGTCATATCAGGACATCCTCGCAGACCTCACCTTTGCTCAAAACGACTTCGGCAGCCAGCTCATCTCCGGTCGCCTAAAGGAGGACGAATTTGAGACTGAAGAGTTCCACTTCCAATACTCTTCCCGCACTAGATCACCGAGGGTAAATAAATAACCCTAGCCCTGATGTCTACCTCCAGTCCTAATGACGGGTGGGTTGTTTAGATATACAATGACATGATAACGCTCCGCTCCGGCGACATAATGATCAAACTCGCTATCTCCCACGCGATCGCACAATCCACAAAACTCTGCCGCTTCGAAGAGCGCATGAACTCCACCATGCTCGGCGTTCAGCACATCCCCAAGAAGTTAGCCCTAACCGGCAAACTGGGCATGAAGCGCGAGGAAGTGGTTAAAATGAGCGGAAAACTGTTTAAGCTGCGTGTAGACGTGAACCTTTGTACTCCCCTCCCCCCTCTCCCCCCCCACGGTCGGACTGACCAGGAATAGCAAGCAACGTTCTTGACGTCCCCGAATTCTTCTGGGCGGCCGAGCCAACCCTGCACCCCTTATACGCCGCCGTGGGCGAGTACCTGGAAATTAAGCAGCGCATCCTAGTCCTCAACGAGCGCTGCAGGGTATTTCTAGATCTCACGGACATACTCTCGGACTCCATCGCCGATAGCAACATGTCCAGGATTACGTGGATCATTATTATCCTTATCGTGCTCTCGATCTTTGTTACTACCGCTGAAGTAGCGATTAGGTTTGGGTTGTTGAGTGCTAGGAGGAAAGCAGGGGAGTTGTAAAGTTGTAAAAGGGTGTGTAAAGTGTACATTTCATGGGGGGGTTAGTTGTTTGTTGACCGCTCCCTATACTCCCTATAGCAGAGCTGCGCGAAGATGATTATTCCAATGTGAAGGGGAAGGATAGTGTGTAATTGGTAGTCCTCATTATTTCATTATTTTCACTTTTTAGTATGCCCTTCTCTTCTCTCCTTCCCCTCTTTCATCCCCCCTCTCCTTTCCTTTCCTTTCCTACTCACTCACTCATCCATTCACGTGCATGGCTAATCATAGGGTGTCACTCGGTGTCAAATTTCTTACCTTCTTTCCTTTTCTCCTCTCCTTCCTTTCCCCCTTTAGCTACTCGGCCAAGTGCCTGACATTAATGAATCATTACCTCGCTTCGAGTTGTTGGACTCGTCCAATCTATGTTCACACCCGCGAGCGCAAAGTGAGCAAGGGGGGGTGGTTGCTGCTCATTTTCGGGAGTTTTTTTCTCCTCCACCGCCAAATTTTTGGTGTGATTCTGCTTTTTTGCGACGAGGTACGGCATAGTGGGCGACCAACGATGTCCGGGAACTATGTATGCAAGGGCTATGATATATGTGCGGGTGCGAGAACAAAGCACGATCAGAAAGTATCACTCGAAATCCAACTATTCCATTATACATGCGTATCATACGTGCAAACCCCATCATACAATATATTAATTCAACATCAAACTTAATCCACTATTCACTATCCCCCTCACTCTCGCCATTACCACCACCACCCTCCCCATCATCCACCCCCAAAAACCTAAAGTCCACAAAACTCGCGCGCCCCTCCCACTCCACCATAAACTGCAAACTGAGTACACCCGCCTCGTCGCTCCGGACGCTAACTTTTGTCGCGACCGCCATGGCTCCGCGCGCGTGCCTAACGAGGTCGAAGCGGTACACGTCCTTTGCGCGTCCGCTCACCATGAAGGTTTCCAGGAGGTCTCCGTCGTTGCTAAATTGGACTGTTGTGGTGCCGAGCGGGGAGGTGGAGGAGAGGGCGAAGTGGGGCGGTGATGGGGATGTGAAGATTACTAGGAGGGAAGAGGAAGAAGGGAGGACGGGGGACGAGGAGAGTTCGGTGATGGCGTCGTGGAGGAGGGATGATTTTAGGATGATTTTCCGAGTTAGGGTAGGGGAGAGGGGGATGTCAGGGAGGGGGGCTGGGGTGTAGGTTGTCAGTTCGCAAGTGGTTGTTATCGGGGGTTCTTCCAAGCTGGTGGATGTCGTTTGTTAGCTATTTGGGAATTTCAAGAGGGGGGGAAGAGGAAGGGGGTAGGAAGTACATCAAGCATAAAGGACCCCCTTCCTCGTATAGAAACCTGCACGTCCCGGCGATTCTCAAAAGGCCGTGGTCGAAGGCACTTACTCCGGCGGTCCCCCCTGACCAGCCGTCCCCGCCTCCCCCAGCTCTGCCTCCACCGCCTCGCCATTTCCCGCCAGCATCCCCTCCGCCAAATATCTGTAGACACTCCAGTAGCGCCGTCAAGCTAATACCAAACTGTACAACTGGATCCTCATCTGCTTCCAAATTCTCCGTTAAGTGTGGCGGTGGGTGAAAGGTGTAAGTATTAAACAAGTTCTTGTCAATGAAAGCATGGCCTGTGCCAATCAGTATAAGAAAGGTTTGAAGGAGTGAATCGACGCGAGGGAACCTTGCATGACATGAGAGTCCTCAACCGTGACGCGGAGACCGTCGGCCGAGATTTGTAATTGAGCTGTAGATTGGAAGCCAATACATTTTAGGAGTGTGAGGATTTGGCGGGAGGAAGTCGTTAGAGCTGTGAAGAGGGGGGGTTGGGCTGGGTTTTCTTGGGTTTCAGACATTTGGTGGGGTGGTGGGGTTCTAGAGTGGTGGTGGTGGCGGTTAGAGTTTACCGGTAAACTATGTTGGTTTTCCAAGTTGTGTAGGTTGGTGACTCAGGGAAGAGTTGGCGATCTCTAGAGTTGCTGTTGTTGCTGGACGTTGTTTTTCTCCGGGCCGCAGGAACATCACAGGTAGACAGAAAAAAAAATGCAATGCAACGAGAATTGATATTTAACACCCTTTTTAGAACAAGGCCCAATCGTACAGTTTAATTTAACCCCCCATATCCTAGCTGACCATTCAACACTTAAACGTAGACCCCGACGGCGCAAATCAAGTATACGGATCCAAACCTACATCCGTCAGTTATAATTGTTTCGGGGAGGTAGAGTTTCTGTGTGGGAGTATACCCAAATGCTAGAGAAGCTGGGATTGCCAATAGGGGGGCACGTATGATGGATTTATCTAGAGATTGTTAGCCACGATAGTTCCAGTCCGATCGGTAGAAAACCTGTACTTATAGAGAATAGCCCCGTGAGAAAGAATCCTACGCAAAAACATCAGCTGAGACCTAGCTTCCCCTTCTCAAACACAGAGTGGTAGACAAACCTGTCAACATGAGGACCGCCGCAACAAAAAGGTGTCCCCCTTTCCCAACCATGGGCACAAAGGGCTTCATTGAATCCCACTCAGCGTCCATTTTATTTCGATAGTAAACGAAATTCGTTCGGTTCGATTTGGAAAGTATGTATTTTCTTGTCGCAATATTCCCGGCTCAGTCTGGTCGCGTGGAAATAGGTGAATTGCGTTACCTACGTGGACTAAACGGGTCCAGTTCTGGTGGACAAGCTGATGGTGCCAGTAGGAGAATTACGCACATGAGGGTATTACTGGGAACCGGAGAGTCTTGGCGTTTCTGATTCAATATTATTGTCGCTGTTGGAAGACCTCGGCGGCCCTGCTGCGCACATTGAAATCACCATAAGGGCAAACCACTTTCTTAACCCTTCCCTCTACATACCACTTACAGTTGGGGGTCAAATCTTGCTACGGACAGAACAGGAGTCATGCCGGCTGCTAAGAATGGAGGTATGATTTGAAGTTTCACTGCTCGAGTTTTTGTTATTATGCCCTTGTTTGGCGGCAAAGCTTTAAAAACAAAAAAGCTAACCATCAATTTCTACGATAGATATAAAGCGCAAGTCGGAGGACACTGGTGACCTCTCGCCGAAGAGAATAAAGGTCTCCGAGTCTCCCGAGGAATCGAAGAAACCAAAGGCACTGTTCAGGGAATGTACGTCTATTTTGCCCGGGGCGCTCGAGTGGAGACCTTTTATTTTATTTGACTGGGTGAATATTTATTGACCCGAGATATCTGCGCAGCCAACGCCGTCCTCGAGGAGCGCAATGGCGATATCGAATTCCGTGTCGTTAACAATGACAACTCGAGTCAGAGCACGATCATACTGACTGGTCTCAAAAATATCTTCCAGAAACAGCTTCCAAAGATGCCCAGGGACTACATTGCAAGACTGGTCTACGATCGCACGCATTTGTCCATGGCTATTGTTAAGAAGCCATTGGAGGTTGTCGGGTATAGCGTTTGATCGCTCGGGAGATCTTCGCGGGTTCATGGAACTGATTGGCGTCATTAGTGGTATTACATATCGACCTTTCAAAGGTAGACAATTTGCTGAAATCGTGTTCTGCGCTATCTCGTCCGATCAGCAAGTTAGAGGATATGGTGCCCATCTTATGTCCCATTTGAAGGTATCGGAGATCTTTCGTTTGTTCGTTTTGACGGATAATATATCTAACGGGTAGCTGTTCAGGACTATGTCAAAGCTACCTCGGATGTGATGCACTTTCTCACCTACGCGGACAACTATGCTATTGGGTACTTTAAGAAACAGGGATTCACTAAAGAAATTACTCTCGACAAGCACAAATGGATGGGGTATATCAAGGATTATGAAGGAGGAACCATTATGCAGTGTTCCATGATCCCTCGGATTAGGTATTTGGAGGCGGGGAAGATGCTAGCAAAACAGAAGGAAGCTGTTCATTTGAAGACGAGATCTATCTCAAAGTCTCATATTATTCACCCTGCTCCAAAAGCCTTCAAGAACGGGCCATGCAAAATTGACCCAACTTCTATCGCGGCTATCAGTAAGTTCCGGCTTGGGCTTGGCTATCTTTATCTACTCCCAGCACCCCACCTACATATGTCTTTGCACACGCACCTACTCCCAATTCCCACACTCTCTTTCACAATTGTAGCACTGGTAGATTCTGCATATCTACGAGAATCGGAAGAATGACAGTGTCTTTCCCTGCTTCCGGTAGCCACTGGTTGGTTATTTGGATTTAAACAGCTCATATACTCATCCCGACCGCACACACCCTCTAGCTTCCGCAGACGTTTTTTTTCCTTCCCTTATTTTTACGCCTTTCCCGAATATGGTGTAGAGCAATTCGCTAACATTACCCTCCTTCAACCGCACAGAGGACGCGGGGTGGTCGCCCGAAATGGACGAACTCGCTCGGCAGCCAAAGCATGGCCCGCACTACGGGCAGCTCCTCCATATCCTCAACGAGATGCAAAACCACCAGGCCTCATGGCCCTTCCAAAAACCCGTTAGCCAGGACGAAGTTCCAGACTACTACAATGTGATCACGGAGCCGATGGATCTCGAGACGATGGAAAAGAGGCTTGAACAAGACGCATACGGATCGCCTGAGGACTTTGTCCGTGATGCCAAGCTAATTTTCACCAATTGCCGACGCTACAATAATGAGAGCACATCGTATTGGAAAAACGCGAACAAGCTTGAGAAGTTTATGAATTCGAAGTTGAAGGAGATACCGGAGTGGTCGGTACGTAATCCCCCGTGAAAAGATAATAATTCAAAGATGGGGATTTCAGTTCCCTCTTTTTTCCCTTCCTTCCTCTTTTTTCCCTTTTTTTTCCCTTTTTTTTTGCACAACCTTCCCTCCCCTCTTTCTCTCCCCCTTCCACACTTCCACACTTTAGATGGGGTATGGTGGTGGTGGTGGTGGTGATGGAATTTGCATGTTATCCGCCATTCCGATTGGGAAAGAAAGAAAGAAAGGGGGGTTGAGAGTACCGGTAATTCGAGGCGAGCTCTGGCTGACTAAGTGGCGGTTGGTCATTTAGCATCTCGTGGAATAAGTTAAGTGAGAGAGGAAAAAGCTGAGGAACATGAGGCATTGCTTCCTCTTCTGAAACGGATTGCTGTGTATCATAGACTTTTTTTTTTTTCCTCCTCTCCGACGAATAAACTATAATAATATTATAATACTTATGTTAGCGATTTGTAATGTACCGGTACTCGAGTATCTCCAAACATCTCGGTGAAAATTTCTTGGTACGCATCGGTATACTGTAGCAAAGGGGTTTGTTTTCTCAAATCTTCTCGGGAAACTTTAATTCGCGATCACGATCAAGACCACGAGTGTCGCTCAGGCCCGTCCAGCCGTCCCCACCTACCATCCCCCAACCTGATGACCACCGGAGCGCACCGTGGGGTACTCTGCTCGAGTACCACGATCGAGTGCAATATCCAATTTCCATTCTCTGCCGGGAGGATTTCATGTACCTCTTATAATAATATTGTGTACTAAGGGGAGGGGGGGAATGTATTCCCTCCTCCTCCTATCCCCCCCCACTTGACGAGTCCACGGCAAGCGTATATCGGTATTTTCCCATCCTTCATTCGGGCCAGACATGTGGCGATGGCGAATTCCTTTTCATTTCCTCCCCCTCCCCCTCCTCAGTCTCCCGTAAGCTTTGTTTTAGCTCGCTCACTTCAGCTCGTTCAGTTTACCCGTAGTCGTTAATCCTGCCATGTATACCAGCCCCGTCCATCTGCCATGATAAGTTATCAACTGTAGCCCTGAAGTACTTGTACTGTACCCATTAATCCATCCATCCATCCATTCCATTAATTCATTCAATTCGCACCCGAGCTGATGGGTGAGTGCGGGTGTTCAGTCGGTGTTTTTTTTTGTGATGAAGAAAAAAAGTGCACTTTGGTAAGTTATTGTTGGATGGTGGTGTGAGTGTCATAGGGCGAGCACGAATAAAGGGATTGATGGGGAGGGGGATGATACAATACCGCATATTATTATTATAGACAAGACGGGGGGGGGGTATTTGTTATTATGAAGGTAGCTTACAGCATTGTTTCGTCGCATTATGAATGAATGGAATGAACGTTTTATCTGGCGCGGTGAAAGTGAAGGGGTCCTGGATTTTACTCGAGTACCGTACGGTATTGTAGTGAATTGAATGACTTTGTGCTGTGTTGTGCTGTGCACTTCCACCCCCCCTCCCGGTCCCCACTCCCCCCCTCTCCCATCAAGGGAAAAAAAAAACATTGACGTTAGAGCAGCAAAGCTCGCGTACCTGGAACTTGGAAGTCATTGGGTGAGAGAAAGAGAGAAGAAGGACGACCCCCTCCCCCGCGGTTTATTTCATTTGGTTCGAATTAATATATTACTGGCCCTGACTGCCTTGTTCGTTGTGTTCGGATGCCTCTTGGCCTTGAGGGCACGATGCCGGTGAGTTATGCATGGATTAGATTATTACCTGCTTGGCTGACCAGCCAGGCGTCCCCTGTGTCCCTTCTCCGTGGTGGTGGTGATGGTGATGGTGACGATGGATGGCTCGTTTCTCAATTCTTTGCCTGGGCGTCTGGCGGTACGGGTGGGGTGTCTCGTTATTTCCGCCTACAGTGTTGGAGTAAATTTATCATAGGGAGCAACACTATCCAGTACAATACCGGTATGACGTCTACCATTGCGGGTGCGGTGCTGTAGAGTAGAGCACGGCACAGTGCACGTTAGAACCCCTACCGTACCTACATTTACGTTTCGTGCCTGGCTAGCCTGCTCTCCCTTACTTGCTCCGGTGCCGTACGAGTAGCTAAGATAGCTCACACAGCATGGTGCTCGCACAGCACTGGTACAAGTATTATAAACACTCGCTCCGCTCACAGTTGCGATACCCTCGCCATCCAGTTCGCAGGCAAGTCAACCGACCAAGCGCCGTGGAGGGGAGGGTTCGGCCTTGGTCCATAGGCAAGCCGGCGCAGAGTGCCACGATGGATGGAGCCTCGGATTGGGTGAGGAGGTTTCGGCCAATTGTGTTGTGTTGTCTATTGCCCGTTGCCACTTGTATGATAGGCTGAAGGAATGCTGCGATAGACCATGGGAATGGGAATGGAGATGGGGGGTGGATGTTTAGGCGGCGCTGGGTAAAGAGCTCTCTCTCTCTCTCTCTCTCTCTCTTGTTTACAGTAATTGCTTTGCTTCGGGGGGGGGCTCAATATATTTATGTTTAGCACTGCCCGGGCACCAGGGTGCTCGTAGATATTGTTCTTCTGTTTCTTCTTGCCTCTTGCACGTGCAGTACATGGGTTACAGGCGAGCTACGACATTTCATATGTGCTCGGACAGTAAGTACAATGCCGGTACTATGTTGTACCTAGACTACCTGTGCTATGTTCTGCTTCCTCTCCGCTAGAATCCGGAGGCGTTTCTCGAGATCTTTTATGCCATTCTATTGTTTTATTATCCGTGCCTGGCCTTCTGAGAGCCCATCCAGTACCGGTAGCCGTTAGGAACTTGAATTGGGAAATTTTGTTCAGTCCAGCGCCGTGCCTACATTCTCTTTTTATTTTTTTCTTTCTGTGCAGTATGATTTCTTTTTTCCCTCTTTTCCTCTTCTTCCCCTTCGGCCCTGGGAATGAACGGATGAATGAATGTATGGCAGTGGGTGGGTTTCTTTTATTTTCTTTTTCTATGCCTGAATTGAGTGAGTGATAGAGGGTTTTTTTTCTTTCTTTTCCTTTCTTTTCTTCTTCTTTCTCCCATGGTCCTTGTCATGCGGTCTTGTGGAAACACTCGAGCACTATTTTAGAGAGGAGGTTCATGGAGGAGGAGGTCGGAATTATTACAAGTTATTTGCCGTGATATCATTCATGAAGGGCCTGAAAGTTCAGGTCAGGTCTGATGGATGAAGAAGGGACACTGGGTTGCTGCTGCTACTGCTGGCTGCGCCTGTTTAGTGTGCAGATCATTATCTAATAATCTTATCAGAGATTCACCGTCGGGATAAATGTCATTTCTTTCTCAATGAGTGAATTAGCGTCAAAAAAAAAAAAACCTTCTGTAGAATGAATTACTCGTAGAAGGAGAAGAAGAAGAAGGGTTTCATGGTTTGCTGGTGCTGTGATGGGAATTTCACTGATATCATAGTCATCGCTTTGTAACTTACACTTTATGTTCGTTCCCTTTTATTCCCTCTCTCTCTTCCATTTCTAAGGTTGCCCTTCCCACCTTTTTTTACTTTCCTTCCTGGTGCGAGTTGCTAGGCGCGTTTCCTATTTGGGCGGAAATTTCCATTCTCCACCATCCACTAGTCCACCCTGGCCAACCGCTGCAGCAGCTCCCTCCGCTGTACTCTGTCCCTCCTCCCTCCCTCCCTCACACTCTCACACTCTCACACTCTCGCCGCTCACTCCCCTCCACCTCGCACACTCCCCTTCCTCCCTCACCCCCACTAACACACACTCTCTAACTTACTTCTACCATCTCTCACTCCCTCTAGCATCTCTCTCGAGTGTTACAATAATCCCTTCGGAACCGACCCTCGTCTTCACTCTTTGCCTTCTTCGACCCTTCATTGTTTGGAGCTTTTCCTCACTCTCTTGCTCTGTCCACCTGTCTTCCCACGCTCGCTTTCTTCCTCCACCCCTCCAATCTTCCCTTATTCACCCCTCTCTCTCATCCGTCTTACCCAACTCTAGTCATTGCTCTGACACTCACTCTCGGTATCTATTGCACCCTCTCTCGCTTCGCACCGCACCGCACCGCACACCACACAACCCACCCCACTACCTGTCATTCCCCAGTGGCCCTTGGCTGGAGTGCGAGGGCGGGTTCTTGCGGAGAGGGAACAGGGCTCAACGAAACCCTCATCCCTCTCACTGCTTACTTTCCCGGCTTCGTTGGCTCGTAGAAAGGCCTGCCAGATCGACTACCGTTTACTTTTCGGGATAAAAAAAAAAAAAAGTCATGCCTGGATTCACAATCTCTGACGGCGGTGTCACGCTGGGTACTGCTCCCCCAACTGTAGGCAACGGGAAGGGTGCAACTGTGGTGCATGGGCAACAGGTCATGAGGATCGCTTTTGGCGGGAGCAATGTCCTGGAGGAAGTGCTCAAGCATGAGGCCGACCTGAAGATAACCTTCGGGAAGTCCATGGTACGGGAAACTCCATCAGTTTGATGTTTTGCTTGTTTGCCGTTTAGCGGGATGGGGCGCATCAATTTTTTTTGGCCATCTTTGTCGTGGATTCAGCTGGCTAACGGTTTTACTGTTGCGTCCGCTTGTTGTCGGATTATTTAGAGGCTATCCTATGGTGACCAAATAATGGAGATCCTATCTACCATTGAGTCCAGCCGGCATGAATTGTATCGGGCCGAACAGGCTTCTTTGGGGGGTGAGTTGGACTTTGCCGGAACCTTCACACATCAACTTGAGGTCCGAGAACTATACGCGGATACCCCCGATGAGAGCCTTCGCGCTCTGGAGGAGTCGTATCGCCGGATTAACCAGGAGAAGGAGGCTTCTACGTAAGTCTTGCATTTGAGTCTAATCGATTCCCATTGGTTTTTGGGTTGTCGGATTCTCCTGTTTTCCTCCCGACCTTTGTGATCATTGCTCACTCACACACCGGATGCAGAACTGTGGTTGTAGATAGTGCTTCGATGCCACCTGCGGTGTCCGGAAGGCGTGCCGCTTACATGAAAAAGCCAGCGGCCACGGGGAGAGGAAAGAATGCACGGAAACCTGTGACGCAGCCGAGGTCTCATCCAAGCACGCCACACACGAGAGCTGGAAAATCACCAGCCCTCAGTGAGGCTGATGCGGCTGCTCATTCCGCCATGATCAATGCGAAATTGGAGGCATTGAGGGTTCCTTTAATACATTTGCTCGCCATGGGCCCCGATTCGGAGCAGAATCTTGCGTCCAGGACAAGGGTCTCTGAGGATGTATGTCTGCGAATACTACAGAAGGTTGGATATAGGAATTCGAAGCTGTGGGAGCTGGTGGATGATGTCTACAAGGATCTCGATATCTGGGAATTTCCATACCCGTCACAAGCGAATCGAGAGGTAGCTATATCGAATTGTAGAGCGGCTTTTAACAGGCTGCTGTTACCGCGGGAAGCGCCCGAGTGGCAGAAGACATTAGCACCTGAAGATAGAGGGAAGGTCGATCCATGTCCGCCGGCCCCGCAGTCAACCAGGCCAGCGAAGCCTGTGCCCCCGCCAAGCATAAAAGTTACTGGAGACGCCGCAGAGCCGTCGCAAGTCTCACCAACCGGGAAGAAGCCGAGCGGTGGTGAGCCGATGAGTAGATCTAATTCACAGACTGCTCCGGCGACAAAACCGGCTACGAAGGCAGGGCAAAAGGATGCCATTTCCCGGATAATAGGCAAGAAGGGCACGAAAAAGGCTGCGGCACCCAAGGCTAAAGCAGCCACTGTGAAAGCTCCAAAGTCGGCCAACACCAAGGCTACCAAGGCTGCAGCTGCAAAAGAAGCTTGCGCCACAGGTGCGAATTCGAAAATTAAGTCTGCAGAGAGGGTGGAAGATTCCGACGAGGATATTGAGATGGTGGATGTGAAGCTATCACCCGCTAAGCCGGTTGAGAAAAAGACTACTCTGGCAACAAGGCCAGCTCCCAGCCCAATGTCTAAGGCTCCGTCAATAGCATCCGCTCCAGCCTCGGATTTGGAGGCGGAGGAAGCAAGGCTGAAGCCCAAAAAAGCCTTGTCTAACAAAGTGCAGAAATCCCCTGTCAAGAGAGCCAGGAAAATCGTACCTCCGAAGTCGTCCAACACCGCCACGAAGGCAAATGGGTACAAAGTTGCACCTACATCGAATGCGAGTGCCAATTCACTTTCGTCGAAGGAGCAGATCGTCCGACGTAGCTCGAGCTATTCTCCGCCCAAACCCTCGCCTCTGGGGTCATCGCCGCCGGTCAATGCATCGGACATGGGTGGTACAACGGCCGCTTCCTCACCTTCTCTCTTAACGCCGAGCATGAGAACGGCAACACCTGGTCGGTCACCGCTGGGTTCGGTCGCGCACCCTGCGAAGGCAAAACCGCGCTACATCCCGAATAGCTCTCCGCCATTAAAGAGAAAGGCCACTTTGGCGGCAGACCGTGACCGTGAGGATGGTTACTCACGACCGAATGGAAGATCGATCGACCGGGAAAGAGAGAGGGAGCGGGACCGAGACCAGGACCGCGAACGTGAGCATGAGAGGCCAAGCACTAGCACATCCACCTCCTCGAGTACCAGCAGCAACAAACGCCGGAACATCGCCCCGGACATCCCGACAATTCAACTAGCCCGCAAGTTCAAAGAGGACTACGCCCGATATGAGAGGTTACACAGAGAAGTCCAAGCTATCACGGACTCCTTCAAGAAGAAGGAAAAGCTAGACGCTGTGCTGAAAATGCACAGCGATCTGAAAAAGATGAAGGCGACCATTACGCATGCTGCATCCGTCGTACACTGAACAAAGTATAAGCCTAATCATGGCCGTTGTTCCGAGTTTCATTCCCCCCGCCGCCGCTATCTATCTTCACTTTACGAATTCTGGGTGCCCTGCGCTTTTTGCCCACCGGGGTATGCTCTCCTCGACAACAATCTAATATAAATCACCCACCCTTACCACCCATAAAACGAAACCTCCAGTTTCTTGTCGCTATTGAGTTACGATAACGTCATCTTATCCATCCCTTTATTTATTCCTCCTTCCTTCTTCCTTCTTCACATATTACCATTCATCGTCATCATTGTCATGGCCAACACGGAGTTATCGTTTGTTCAATTCAATACAATTATCATTAGCACTCTACTTTTCTATCTATATATGTTCCTCTTGTTGACCTTTTTTACACCGATCATACAAGTATGGCTATTCACTGTTTTTTTTTTCTTTGTCAAATTTCTTCAATTTGTGCATGGGGTGTCTTGCCTTGCCTTTTTCTCTTTTTCTACTCGACCGTTCATTATTTGTTCACTTGACTAACCTCTTTCGATGTCTGTGTGTGTTTTACTTTCTGCGTCTATCTCGTACGTCTGAGTCTGAACAACAAAAAAAAAAGGAGTTTAGTGTCTGTCTTGGCTAGTTTATTTTTTATATTTTTTTATATTTGTTGTTCTTGGAAGCTCACTTATTCTGGTTTGCTTACTACATGACGTGTTTGGCGGGGAAAAACTGTGGTGGGGGTGGAGGGCGTAATGAATGAATGAATGAGAATGAATTGGGTTTGGATTGAAAGGATGGAATGGGGTGTGGAGAGTAAGGTACCGGTAGATGAACCAGCACGATCGGTATAATTGGAGCACGGAATTGAGGGATTTTGTGTGCATACTATAAGTTAGTTTTTGGACTTTTTTTTGTTTTAATTTTTTAAATTTTTTTTTTCCACCGCTTTGTTTAAAGTGTGATGTGGATGTGGGTGTGGGTGTAACCTGTGCGTGTGAGAGTGTAAGCATGGGATGTCACTCGGATTATAGCATTATGGCATTATGGGTAGGGTGCTGTATGATGATGACAGGATTGATGCTCAAAGTACAATATGTGGGTGGTTTTCCTCCTCATCTTGACAAATGTTTTTTTCATCGTCCATGATGCGCGCATCCAGAATGGTTGAAGGTTTAAGGATGCGTGTTATCATACAGTAGATGCCACCCCAACCAAACCTCCGTTTTGATCCCGATTATTATTACTGTACGATATTATTAATTTTATTATAATATTATGGGGGTTTTCCTTGCCGCAAAAAAACTGACCTATGATATGATACTGTACTGTACTCGTACTTTGCATGTCCGGTTGACGCCAAAACTCAATAGTTTTAGTTTAGCTTTAGCTAATCCAATCGAAATGCAATAATGATGTCAAAATGAAGGCTCTCGGAAATAATATCATACTTATTTCTGGGAACAGTTATTACGCTCACTACTCGAGTAATAGTACAATTATCCTGACGGCCAGATATACTCGAGTACAGATACAGTACTCGTACAGTAGGACTTCATTGAGCTTTGAAAGGGGAAAAAAAAAAAAAAAAAGGTGGTGTCAATCATGACAAACAGTTGCGAGTTCACGTGATTAACTTGTCAATGAATAAAACCGAGAGTACTATCATACGAGTTCATGACAAGCAGTTTAAAAGAAAGTTTTTACTCATAGACTTGTATCCCCGAGAGTCCCCGCGCGAAGCCAACAAGGGGCATAAGCGGTAACTTACACTACCCAATCAGGTCCCGGTACAGTACGAGTAAAGTTCGTTGCGAGACGTGCGATCCGAATATCCGATAAGCTTACGGTAATTGGCGCAGGTTTTTTCTTTTTTCCACAGGGGGCGAGATGGAAAGGTTGGTTAGTTAGTTAGTTAGTTAGTTAGTTAGTTAGTCCAGACCCGAGGGCAAAATCGCGAGTTTGTCGCCGTGCCTCTTGGGGTTCGCTTTGGATACGATAACTTGTAGTCTAATTTACCCACTGTGCTCGAGGGGAGGGGAAACGCGTGCTGTTGTGATAAAGGCTTGAAATCGGACCTTGGCGTGAGTTGAATACTAACTTGCGCACAATCTACTCGTAGAGTACCGGTATGTCAGGGGGGAAGTATGATACAGTATGGCTTGGATGGCTTAGATGAAAAGAAAAGGGGAGAATTTTTTTCCATTCCTTCCATGGCACAGTTTTTTTTTTTTTTTTTTTTTTTTTTCTTCCTTCAGTAATGAATGCTAAGCAACTCTGATGATCCGGGAGATTTTAAGATACAGTACTTGCACCGCTGATCTCGTAATATATCCATCCCATCTCAACGGTACTGTAAATTACTTGTACATGTATCATAGCAAGGTTACTGGTAAATAGCACGACTTACATCCGCCGAAAACAAGTGGAAAAGGGGGGAATTTACGCCGCCGCCGTCCCTGTCGAGATGATTAAGGTATGATAACTCTTTCCTCCCTCCGTTAGCAATATATACAGTGGTGGTGAGCGTAACCTTCACAAGGGTTCATCTGTATGAAGTGGAATGTTTACTCCAAGAGGAGGTGCAAAACCCTTCTTGGGAGTCCCCTTTTATGGTCTTGGCCTCCAGCTGCTAAAGCACCATCAATAGAGTGATACCTCATGACGATCAGACGTACAGTACTCAATCAGCTCGCAAATCTCGAAGGTTACTATAACCCCCTTTTTCTCCCCGCTGAATCACCACCATGACTTTAAAACCTATCTATCTATCCTGGAGATTTATTTATTTGTTTATTTACTTTTACAGGGGGTGATGGAGACCCACGGAAGGGTTTTCATTTTTTTCCATGGTGTGTTCCACTAACGAACCCTACGGAGCGGTTTGCGGTACCCGCTCATCCGTTGAGCAGGTGGTGCACCTGCGTTGCGACCCTTTTTTTATAATATCATACTGTACTTGTACAATGTTTTCCTTGGTGCCTTCCTAACCTGTGATGCTTGTCCGCTTCGTGATAGTCCACCCTGCATGTTATCATACCAGGGCTGCTGTGTGGCCGGTGGGTTGTGGAATGGAATGGAGGTTAGCGGTGCTGGGATTTTGTGGTGTTTTTTTTTTTTTTCCCAAATGAAAAATGAAAAAAACATTGATTCTGGAAAGTTGTATCGTAGTGGTATCTATCACATCTCCAACGGTATACTGAAACTGCGGAAAATTTCGTGACTCCCATGTCAGTCAGTCTCCGAGACACAGGTTAATAATAAAAAGCAACTTTTGTATGATACTTACTCGATCGGTGTGAGTATGACGCTCCAGGACGCCTCAAAATAGTAGCAATTGGAGGCAATAAGGCAAGCAAGGATTTGCTTCTCCCCTCCCAAATAAACATTCCACATTATCAGGTTTTACCCTTTAAACCCGTGAACGTGGGGGGAGAATTGAGGAGGTTGGAGGGGGAACGGAGGAGGGAAAGGATGGAAAGGTTGAGAGGTAGAAAGAAATGGTATCATGCCCCAGTGCAAGTATCAAGCAAGGGGTCGGTGAGCGGAATCGATTGGCGGATAGCAAGTGATACAATCATCATGACTGGTACGAGCACAGGCACGAATAATGGACGACCTCCTAAGACAATTACGATAGAGTACCGGTAGTCCATTGATAATCGCCTATGCCAGTTAGATATATGATACCACGTATGTGAGCGTGATAAGGAGCTTACCCCCGCAAATAGCGGGTGAAACTTTCCACCTTGAAATATCACTCGAACTCCCACCTAGTTTAGTCTACATACATACATACTGTATGATACACACTAGCAAGCAGTTCCTTTTTGGAAGCTCTTCGGGATTACCCTCACAATCTCAGTAGTTATTATTAATTGTTTTTCCTAAGCAAAAATCACATGACATTCAGCTGAACGTTCTCATGAAAAACAGGTACTATACAGTACTCGTGTATGATATAGGATATGTCATAAGCACGGACGGACGGGAACCCACGGGTATGCGTTATGCTTCATTCCCCCCCGCCCGTCCGCCATTTGTTTGTAAAAACTTCTCGTACACACCCCGTCTCTTGGAAATGCTTTTGCTAGTCTAGTCTAATCCTCTCTCTCTCTTTCTCTTCTCATTATTCGAAAGAGAAAACGAATTGTGTTAAAAAAAAGGTTCTGCGGTATTGTATCATACCCGTAGAGGCGTATCTGGGAACGGTTGGTTGGAATGCTTTTCTTGCGAGGGTGGGTATGAGAATATCGTGCCTACAGCGCTCGAGTACCGGTACCGTGCAGTACCCTGGCCCACATGGAAAGTATGATACTGTCGAGCCCCTGTTTTCTGGTATCGTGCCGGTACTTGTTGTGTGGTCGGGGACGAGTACTTGAATGGGGGGGAGAGGGTTATGGGTCATTATATCCTTTTGGCAGGAAGAGGAGGTCTCGATCCATGGCTCCGCCGCTGCAAGTGTGTGTGGGGGGGTGACTGTGGTGTATCGCACCAGAAACCAATGTAGGAAGTACCTCCAAGTACCGGTACCTACTACTCGAGTACCCCTTACCGCACAACACCTAAGATGCACTAATCTAATGTGCAGATCGCCGTGCGATACCGGTACGAGTAGACTACCGGTTGACTGGGATGCTACCCTGGGTGTCTGGATATAGTTCTATTATACTATAAGAGGGACGGACTTGCTACTGGTCTACCGGCAGTGAGTGAGTAGCATTTACGTCATGCCTTCCTACTCGTGTAACGATTCGTCCTCTTCGAATTCGAGGTCTGGGCGGAATGTGGGCAGTGCGGTGAGAGCACGAGGGAATGAGGCTGGCTACCTGTACCACCGCCGATCCCTCGGAACAAACGGGGAAGAAGAAGCAAAGAACAAGAAAGGGGGAGAAAAAAGCAAGGCCCGATTCCGGGATCGAACCGGAGACCTGTCACATACCAAGATTTCCGTCCATTGGGGGAACTTCTCCCGAAGCGACAATCATACCACTAGACCAACCGGGCCAATTGACCTTTATCCGGGGATTTAGGGTTTTGTTTGATTTTAGTTTGCTTTGGTGGGAGAGAGATACGCACTGATACGAGTACGGTAGTCCCTGATCACAGTTGACTAACGCTTTACTACTGTTTACCTACGGTAGAGATGCTTATTAAGTTAGTAAAACAAACGGCTTCCCCATCTGAGCGCGAGAGTTCCCTGACTTTCGAGCTCCCTGTTTGGTAGGCGGCGATGGTCGGTAAATTATGAAGTGGGGATGGGAGGCTTTTTTCTTTTTTCTTTTCTTTTCTTTCCTTTTGGATGCGGGGGCAGAGGGGGGGGGATTTGGTGGGGTTGAATTGTGTCCCGTTACACTTGTTAGTGTAACAGGTCGAGGGGAAGACTTATTCTTGGTTACCGGTAGTGGGGAATATCATAGTGGTGCAGGGTAATGATAATTTGGTGGAGCAGAACAAGTAAATGGTGCCGGTGTGGTAAGAGAAGATGTCGATGCTACTGAGAAAGGAAAAACCAGGACGGTTGTTGGAGAAATGAGAGAATAGTTGAGCTATAAAAAACATCTTAGAGAGCACTACTGACATCCTAATTCTGAATATCATACCTCTCTGTGTATCGACGATTTCGCCCTAGTGTACATTAGGGTTGGGCTAAATTATGCAGAGCAGTGAGCGAAAACATATTTCCTCAAGTATCTCGTAATAGCGCTGTCAAATTAAAATACATAGAATTGAAATAAAATTGAAATAAAGGGGAAAAACAAAAACCCTCCCCGCGTTCCCTCTTTTTTCCCTCCTCGTAAATCAGGGCCATCTAAAGCAAAAATGGGGTAAAAAAAAAAAGGGGAGGGAGTCTGAAAAAGAGGCATATTATGTCCAAACTAGCAACAACGCCGCCAGGCCCACCCCCACAACGAGGACCAGGTTCTGCGAGATGGAGGCAGCAGGAGAAGCAGAAAGCGTGACTTTTGAGTCTTCGCTGTAGACGCCGGATTTGTCGTTGATCCAGCAGACGGTCTCGTTCTCTGGCCCACCGGCCGCTTCACAAGCTGAATTGAAGTCCTTGTCGTTGCCGGATTGGGATGCGCTGGTGTTGAAGTACATCATTATGTACTCCATTTCCATTTTTACGTCTTTGGTTGATGGGAGGCTGTGGTGTAGTTGACTGGTCAGTTTTGCTCTGCTTCGGTTAACTGGGAGAAAGATGGGATTGGTACCCGCTCCAAGTGCCGTTGTTGGCCCAGAGGTTGATCATGATTTTGCCTTCCTGAGTGGGGATGGGTTGTTAGATTGAACCAATTGGCAGTAGTGGTGGGGTTAGATTCTGTGAGATGAGATGGGGCGAGTACGAACATGTTTGGGAACGTTCTTGGTCATTTCCTTGATTGCGGAGTTATCCTGGAAGAAGGTTGTTTTTGATGGTGTCCAGTCAAAGCGGTGTTCTTGCATTTTTGACCATGACTTCTTGAGCTGGATTTGGAAGGTTGCGTCCGGGATGGTGGTGTCGGTGGCACTATCGTACGCTTATATGTATTTAGTTAGTTTAGCCTGGGGAAACTAATTTTGAAGTGAGGTATTGATGCAGGGGTTCATACCAGGGTGTTGAGTGTAGCGGATGGTTTTGTCGCCGTCTCTGGTTAGGATCTCTATATCTGACTCATCCTCATCGTCCTAAGTCAAGTCAATTAGCACGGCTCCGATATCCCACGGGAACCACTACTAGCTTATGATGAAACATTGAGCATATATAAAAAAAACAAATGAGAACATACATAGTAGAAAAAGAACCCAGCAACAGCTCCCCCAACCGCCTTCTTATCCACAGTGACCTTGAACTTCGCCCTGAAACTCCCATGCTGGAAGTCCGTCCGTTTGCTGTCTACCTCCGCAACGCTAATGGGCCCGTCATCACCATCCTTGTGCCCTTTCTGTCGTAGGTGTAGCCTCCCGTCCTTAATCCACACGTTCTCCGCGTCATTCTTCCTGGCCATCACTCCAGCACTCGAGCTCGTGTTGAACGCCCAGTCCTGGACCTCCCAGTCTGATAGTGCGGTGTTGACGTCCGTAGTATCCGGGATTTTAGAGAAATCAGTGTGCATCTTGTGAGTGAAGAACGTGCTGGTTTGTCTGAGCATGTACCCGCACTCACATTCCGCCGCCGTCATCAGGGGGAGTAGTAACAGGAGGATTGCTGCGCCAGTCGCTGCTGTGGGTAATGTGAGAAACATTTTGATTGGGATGCGGGAACTGAATGGAATAAAACGCGGGGCGGAGATCAATGATTGCGTGTATGATGGCGTATGGGCGAAATGACCGTATAGGGCGTGGTGAAAGATATAAAAACAGAGATTCGAGAACCAAGGTTTTAAGATTCTCTTGGATCCACTTTTGCGGGGAATGGTTTGGCAAGAGCTTGATATAAAGGAAAAGGAAGGAGTCCTCAGGATGCCTTTTTCGCTATAGCAGTCCTTTCTCTCCTTCTCCCCCTAACCCTTTAGGAGGGCTTGCAAAAAACCGAGACCTTCCGTGAGACTAGGACTGAAAAGAAGAGTCAGCCGTAAACCCTCAGCGGGGTGGGCGGGAAGGGATCAACCCCCGTCCAGTGCACGAACGCAACCGCCAAATTGCGAAAATCGAGAAGGGAAAGAAAAAGAAAAAAGGGCGCAGAAGCAACAAGAGTGAATAGCAAACCGGTATCGACGATCGAAGGGTGGCTGGGCGAAAAAGAAAAAAAACAGAAAATAGGAGAGTAACAATACCAGTTGGTAACTTGAACGATATAATTCTTGGGGGTATGAGGACCGGAAGAGATGGAGGGAGAGGGGGACGGGGAGGCCGATCAGAGTACCGATATCGAGCAGGAGCGTAAGAGTCCGCCAGGTCCCAAGAAGAGCGCTAGAAGGGAACGAAAGGCTTAAATACCTTTCTGTGGGCTGTGTCCTGCATGGTTCCGACTGGCCCGCAATGTTACTACTCGTACTCGCCATGCTGGAGCAATGGGCTGAGCCAATCAGCTGGGGGTTTACGGAACTGGAGCATGTAGTATTAATAAGTTAATGCAGAAGTTGCATCGGAAATATGGGAGATCTTCGCAAAACTAAGCATGCACTGCACACTCTACTCATAGAAGAGCTTCTTCAAGTGCCACCTGCTTACAGGCCAGTTTTTCTGCTCCCTAGTGAGTCAATGATCGGCCTTGGGGTACTATAACAGTAGGGTAGCAAAGAGGTGGGTGGAGGAAGGGATGAAAGAAGGCGCAAGGAGGAACTGCACATAGGCACCGTTAGCCGGTGGGAAGGGGGGGGTACGACGGAGGAGCGGGAGTCCCGTTTTGCATCTCAGACAGCTTCTGGGTGGTTCAAGCAGGGTGGCTCGAGCAGGGTGGAAGAGGGGGTTGGCTGTCTCGGTGGTTGAACGGCTTGGAGGAGATCAAAACTTGAGCCGCGAGTTGGTGTTGCCACCGGTTTTGGACAATAACTTTGTGTGACCAAGACATGGTCCAATCCATTCCCTGTCAAGTTCAGGGACTGCACCAAAAATAGCTTGTTCGAGCGTTCAATCCCGAATCTTCAACCTATCGATAAGGCTCTCCCGTCCCTCCCCCTAGCACTCGAGTACAAGAAGAGTTAATAACTATTGGGGGCAGTTCTTAGTATCACATCCGTCATTCCGAAATTCCTCCAAATACCGGCACTCGTGCTGTAGTAGGAAAGAGGTATCCGGGGGCAGGGGTTTGGACATAGGTACGTACGGAATTTTTGCCATATATTTTGCAAGTCCCGTTTCCGGGCACTTCTTCCCTAACTTAATACAAAATAGATTGCTGTTACCCCAGCTCATAATTCACGCTTTATCCAAATAGCGATAGCGATTGGTAGCACGAATGAGCTGGACATGCAGTACTCTGGTGGGGAGACTGGGAAGAACGGAAGAAGATACGGGAACAAACCACGACTCGACGAAAAAAACAAGAATTACAAGTGACTAAAACTACATCTCAGTGACTCGGAATTTACCCTGCAGCTGTTTGACGGTATTCACCCTCAACTGCACAATGATGGCCTGGATCAAAAGCTGCGGTTACACACGGCCATACTGTACCAGCTGTCACCGCAGCTGATGCCGGGATTTAGGAGGAAAAGGAAGGACAATAAGCGGTTAAAGCGCTTCAGGCACGTTGTACTAGTACTCGTACAGTACGAGCACAGCACAAAGGATTGCGTCACGGGCCATCACTTGCTGCTGGTCACAGCCTGAATGGTCGGGTTTACTATTTCTTTTCAGGCTCTCGCGAAAATCATGATCTTGGCACGGTCTATAATTCAAGGGGTTTCTGTAGCTATATTAAGAGGGAAAAGGGCCGCGGAGATCGTTATTGTTTTCCCAACAGGTCGAGGGGAGAGAAGAGCGGGGGCTGTCCGCGGTGGGAACGCACAGAGAGAAGAAAAAAGTATAAAATGCCAGAACGGTCGAAAACCATCGTACCGAAATACGCCACTGCACTCCACACCACCGCCGACCAATGAGTACCGGTATTCTAGTTGGTTTGAGGCTGGAGGTATGTTGTGCTTTGTACTACCTAGACCTTCTCGAGAACATACCGGTAATGTCCTCCTTCCTAATCTTCCCACCGGTGTAAATCGCCTAAAAGCTTCATTAGAGATTTTGCGCTAATAGAGGCTTAAACGGGAAGAAGAGAAGTGGGAAAACTCACACTTGGAATAGCGGTGAAGATGCATAGCGCTCCTGTGAACCGCCGCAGTTAGTACGAGTACAAGGTTAGGCAGAGGGTCACGACGCGACAAGGAAGGTGGGGAGCAAACCAATTGTCCAAACCATATTGTTCCATCCCACGGCATCCTTGAGGAATCCGGCTTTGCGAAATATCGTCAGCGCTTCAGCCCCAAAGGATAATTCTGCTTGAGTGATTCACTTACACCACAGAGGCCCCACGAAGGTACCGGCGGAAAACGCAACGCTGAACAATCCATACTGCAAAATCAGTCACAGTCAGTAATCGCGTTACAAGGGGTCCCCTAATCTCTGCTAGGTGTGTGTTACCCCTTGCGCATAAGCCCCGTTACTACCGAGTATACCCGGGTTCTTTTCTTCCACCTCGTCGAGGAATAGACTGATCTCAGCCATCATAGTGGGCAGGACCAACACGAGCCCAATTCCGATCAAGGCGAGGATAGCGCACATTAGGACTATCTGGGAGACGCTGTTGTGGTCCGGGAATCGCAAGAAGACGAAGAAAGGGCAGCAAAGAATGAAGCCCGCGGTTTGAACCCAGCGTGTTCCCCATTTATCGCATACCCAACCTGTTACTGTTAGCCTTGTCTGCGGCAAATGTGCTCACACCTAGGAAAGCGAGCAACTCACCAACGAGGGGAGCGAGGAAAGTTGGAAGAACGACCGCGAGGAAGATTAGTCCTGCCCCTGTTGCGTTGAAATCGAAGAGTTCCCGAACGCGCAGGGGCAATGTCGTCTCCAACGATGTCATAATTACTGCCTGAACGACTGTTCCCCAAAGCGCCGTTAGGAGTCTAGGATACTTCAAGATTCTGATGATTGGCGGTATCCTGCTGCCCTTCTTCAGGATTGTGGGTCCTGCTTCGATATCGTTGGCTGTAGAGAAAGGTGATTTTTTAGTGAGCTGCTTGGAAGATATGTGTTACTAGGGGCAATTCTCTTGCTCACAGCTATTCTCATTATCGTTAGCGGGCCCTTCCCCGTTATCAGGCGTGTGGGTGTGGGCATTCTTGGGTATTTGAATCAAGTCGCTTCTCTCGCTGGGGGATTTCGGAGGTTCGGAGCCCTTTCCCCCTCTCATAAGCATCCCGTTGGGGCCCGCTCCTGGAGAGGGCCCACCGGATTCTACTTTTTTGGGTAGATATTTCGCTGCAATCTTCTTCTCGATTATGACGAGTCGCAGAACAATGTCAAGTGTTAGCTTTTAAAGAAACTATTGGTTAGCAAAACCAAACGACCGGGAGAAAGAGAGTTCAGGTTAGGCTCTAACTCACCATGCCAAAAGCCATTGCGAATACTGAATTAATTCACCGGTTAGCTTGCAGATTAAACAGACTTTGGTGCGACGAATATCATAAAAAGATCCTACCAGCATAATATCCGCCCCTATGATGTACTATATTAGCAAGGTCAACTGCCAGGGACGGCCCGCTTGTGAAGAACCCACTTATCGTAGACAATACCGCCCAGTAGGGGCGCCAAAAAGATACCGCCGCTCATGGCGACACTTTTTGGACAAAAATTAGCTATTCCACTCCAACTATTTGTCTCGCTCGAAAGCTTGATAGGTCTCTAAAGAGCTAGGTTAGACTAACCTCACAACCCCCATACTCTGCGCGACCTCATCCTTACCCACAGTATCGACAATGAGTGCCAACCCAACCGTCCATATTACCGCGGCCGAAACTCCTTGGAGGAATCGGCCAATGGCGAGAACAGTAATATTGGATCCTACACAGAGCAGAACTGTTGCGCCGGAAAGTGCCAGAAGGCCAGCCAGTAGCGATGATCGTCTGTTGCTGCTTATATCTGCAAGGTACCCGCATACAGCTGGCATCCCGTAATGTTAGTTTGTGCGGGGGAATGATTGATCTGGTACAACGATAAGATAGGGTATTATAAGAAAGCTGTCAAGGCATTGGGTACTTCGTCCGAAGAAATGGATGTTTGGTGGATGTCGAGGTATATATATTATACGCCCTCAACTAGTTCGGGATATTTGGTGCTGCCGGAGGTGATACTTACGAGATGCTATAAAAAGGCCGGCCCCGTACACTGCCAACAAGACCGAGATCCATCGCTGAACATCTAGCGAAGCTATCAGAATCGATTGACAACAAATGCAGGAACTTTGGGGGTTACCATCGTGGGGAACATTCGCCCGTTTCTCCAATGCGAATGGGAATACAGGAATGACCTAAATGCTGTAAGCTCCATCCAAAACCCCACAAAAGGCTAAAGAGTCATACTAATCCATAAAGAAAAATATCCTAGTGCACCAATCATTTAATGACTCTCCAATCCCGGAAGCCAATTATTAGGAGGAATGGTACTCACAGTGAAGACCGCTAGGGACATTGCGGTAACAATAAATCCCTGGCTGCTCCTAAACTCCAAAAACACCGGCCGCTTTTCCCCATAACTAAGCCATGTCCAAAACTTAAGGCTAAACATTTTATTATTATTGGCGCCCCCCCCTCTTCTATTATCTCTCGACGTTGGATCCTTCAATATTTATATGCACTGGGTTTCCCCACAAAGAGAGGAAAAAGGAAGAAAAAAAGTGATTTGTATGATGCTGGTTAAGGTTCGGCACTCGAAGCGCCAGCCAGCCAGTCAAGCAGGCTCTCTGAAGCCACTCTCGGTACCGAATCAAGTTATTCGCTCACCAATCGAATCACAAGAGAGAGAGAAAGGACTATAAAGAGGTACTTATGACTTGCGCCGTCAAAGAAATCTGCGGATAGGTTTTTATTTCTCTTGAGGAGTGATCGGAGAGGCATGAGAGTATATAAGCAAAAGAAGGAGTCAGAAATAGGCCCAGGCTAGATCTACTTTTGATCTCGAGAAGTAGGGCTCCTAATGGTCGTTTAGAAATAAGGAATAGCGAGTCAAGCTAAAGAAGTACTGCGAGGTTTCCATCGACTAATCTTATAAAAGTGCCAGGAGTGTTCTGGATGGCGGAAAACTCTCAAATGCACCAAGAACTACGGACCTCTCCAGCACGGTAAATTGGGAAGAGCAAGTGCATTACCGGTACGCAGAGGACGGGGAAGGTGGAGAAGGTGAATGGGTTCTATGGACTCTAATCTTCTGACAAATGGAAATACCGGCGCGATAGTCTACCTTACCGCATGCCCACGCAGCGGCACCAATATCTAGATTGGTACCATGGATGGTCGCCCTGTTTTTTTGCTGCATAGTGATATTGTAGTATCCATACCACTCCGGCCGCCGAAAGCCCGTTCTCGGGCCGGATGGTGATCAATGCTCGGATCTTGGCGGTGTTGATAAGCCCTCGGGGGGGAAGGCTCAACGCGCCGCTGCAGAATAACACAAATACTTTTTGAACTATACTCAAGCACAGTACCCAGATGCAACCCATCAGTCGGGTCCCTCTCTAACATGGCAGAGGCCGATCCTGAATGATTGGCGTGATGATGGCCTTTCGATCGGAGGGGTTCAATATCATTTAGCTAGTTCGGGCCTTCCCGAAAGGAAAAAGAAAAGAAAGGAAGAGAAAAATTTCCCCCAACGCACCTGTCTGACGCCATGGCCAAGAATCCTTCGAGCTCCAGGAGTCATGTTGCATCAGTAATTGCGCCGGTTCTGCGTTATTCTGAGGTTTAACTTCTCGTGTTCGGAGTAGAAACCCCCCGCTATTGGGCGATCTGCCACGAGACGGTCGGCTTATTGGGATACCGGTACCGGTGTTGTGCAGTCACTTGTGCCTGACAAAGCCGAATACGATGTGGGTTTTGGAAATACTAATCGGTCCCTCCCGCTTTTGCTATTGTGATCAGACGGGCCTGGATGCGGTAGTGGTAGATTCGGTAAAATTGAGTTGGTTGCAGAAGAGCGTGCTCCTTGAGTGTGCTCGGTACCGTACTCGAGTACTGGTGTTGCTGGTAGTGGGTAGGGTTGGCTGATCAGGGATTACAGCACTCGACTACTGTACTAGTACGAGTACAGTGCTCGAGTACCGGTACTGCTGTACTCGTACACTCAACCCAAGGTCAGTTTACTTGCAGAATTAGCCTGTTATTTCACATTCCTCAGAACGCTTTATCGCTTCCCCAACTACCGGTACCGGTACTGTACTCGAGTGCGTGCCGGTAACCTGGAAAACTCTGCCTGTGATAGTGTCATGCCACTTCAAGTGTTTGCTTGGTAGGTCTTGCACTTTTCCCATGGAGGTCTGGGTCCGAACTCATCCTGCGATGAGCCACTTCTCCGGGGAGACCCGGCGCCACATACAGCCTGTGTATGGGGCGCACCCTGACCCTGATACATCAAAAGTTCACCGGTACCTCGACTCCAAGGATGACACCGGTTGTACGGAATCTTGCGACTCAAAGCTTACACATTCTCCTCGCAGAGTCCATGGGAACCGATATATTTGAGCAACAGGACATATGGGGGTCGATGCTGCCGCACAGCTAGAACCAGCACCACACCGCTCCCGATCTAAAGTCCGCTCTGTCGAAATATCGCGTCTATTCTCTCAGGTGCGGTACGGAAGTGCGAGAGACCACACTTGGCGCCAGGTGTTATGACAGGCGCTTAGACCCGGCCAATATCCGATTGATCAATGCTGCGCTCACTTCATCCGTGCCATGAGCACCGGGGAACCCCCTAGCGGCACGGTATCGTGGGCTGTGCTACGGAAAGTGATATTTCATGACCCGGTGAAGGAAAGAGTGGGGGATTGGTTTCGCCGATGACAGACGCGAGATGAACTGCCGATGGAGTTATTCTGAAAGTGGGGAATCAGTGACCGGGCCACATGTGCTGTCTGGGATGATATAAGACGGCGTCCTGGGGTGCGCGCACAGTACTCGTACGGTGCCGCGCTGTGCGGGTAGGTTTTGTAAACCTGCGGATGTGCTATTCTCACGCTGAGAACGAACCGATTGGCCGGGTAGATCGTGGGGAATCGTTTCGGGGGGGGGGCATGGGGCCTTGGGGGTTTTGCAATATCTCGTTAGTATTTCGTGTAGTATCTTCTTTACTGCATTGACTATCTAGTGTGCCCCCAGCAGTCATAAGATAGGGGTTAGTCGGATTAGCGCTAATATCAGGTGGTCGTTACATTGTGTGGCTCAGAATGGCACAGCACCGTTTATCTGGTATCATACTCGAGGAAGAACTCGGAGAGTGCCGAGAACCACTTTGTCGAGAGGATGGGCGTTGGTGTTTTACACGAGGTATGATGCTTAGTATGCCGCCACCCAAGATCAAAACGCTTCTTGTGCGAGATACAGTCAATACTTATGTTCCACCTCCAGGGAATCTCAGCATATTCAAGCTTAAAACTAAATGTACAATTCCTTAACCATGCTCCAGGGTTTGGTGATGGTACACCAGGCCGCACCGGGCGAACCTGGTTATCGGTGCAAATAACACATTATAATATCATGCTACCAAGATTAAATACTCAGAGCTAACTTACCTCTTGTATCAGGCGGGTGTTTTTTTTACCGCCCCGTAGTCGGAGCAGACACCCCCGTTTCAAATCGGAGAATACAATGGCCCATTTCGGCAGTTGATCTGATGTTTAGTCGAGAAGTGCAGGTTCGCGTCCGGTAGCAGCCAGTGCATCATGGAATCTCACTTTCTTGCAACACTTTTTTATGGCGTGAACAGAAGCTTATATCCCCCCCCCAGTACGGTAGATTTTCGAAAACCTACCGAAACTCTCCGCACGCCCGCTGGGGGATTCTAAAGCTGGCTGCAATCCGTTCTAGCCTCTCTAGGTTCTGGCGCCGCCAGCAGCTCTACCGAAAATAGGCACCGCAAACAATAATACTGTAGAGATACGCCAAAGCTCGGGGCTCCAGAGTATCGGGGGCCCCCGTGATACACCGCAGCCTGAGGGCCTATAATGGATTTGCTCTATTCTCAGCGCCATGCTCTGCCAGACCGCCGTAGCACTTCAGCTTAACAATGCTATACAGTGAATGCCTATTCTTTTCATCTTGACCAGATACTCCGTGAATTGAATTGCTCTTAATCTTGGGTCGTGGAAGCAGGGCTAAGGTTGTTAGAGATTGGTGTTGCTGCTCGAGCTGCCACGAAACCCAACGGTTCCAAACCCGCCGCTCACCGCCTCGTGCAGGACGCCATGGATTGAAAGTAAGCGACACCGGGGGCTGCACACCATCTATCTAGAATAGTACGTGAGACCGCTAGAGGGGAGTGGTAAAGGTTTCTTGCTGGATCACGCCGATGATTCGGCAAGTATTCCCAATAAACGTACGAGTTTACTGGATGTGTCTCTCCAATATAAGCCTGGAAAATTGATTTGTTGGTTGTTTCTCCAGACACTCTTTGGGCCATTATAATCAGAGAGTAGTTCGAGCACCAGTTACTCAGTAGACGATGAGAAAAAAAGATGAAATAGTCAGGATACTGAACGCGCCGTAGAAATGAATAAAAATGGACCTCCCCGAGTGTCCGAAGAGCTTCTATCTATAGCTTAACTTACCCCGTTGCCAGAGTCCCCACTGTTGGCAGCCAGCAGTGGGCTGCTTGTATTATTGGGATTCAAACCGTTATCATGGTGGCACAAGGTACATCACCTTATTATGGTCTGGTAGAACTGTCAAAGGCTACATCAGCGACAAGTTCGGAACCGTCGTTGCAGCAGGCATGTACCCATAACTCGGGGTGGTATCTGGGTGGATGTTGGGGTAATTGGTGCTATGATGCTATCATATCTTTTCTTTAGAAGGGAATTATAAAACATAATAATAAACTATAATAGGACGATGGGTGTCCGGGTAATACGGGTTGGTGGAGTAAAAATTATGATGGATGGAATCCGTTCCCGAATTTATGGGAGGGATTCACTATCGCTGGAGGGGGTAGAGGGTTCAGATCCCTTGGGGGCCGGAATGGCTCAACCCTTGTTCTACGCTGCTCGACCAACGTCAATGGTTGGTGGTGGTGTCTTGAGCGACAATAGCAATGAGACTAGCGCACAATGGCAAACCGACAACGTCGGGAACGACAATAGGAATCGCCTTTGAGATCCATAGCAATCCTCCCAACTTCCGCTCAATGGCAGGAACTCCCACCTCCAACCAAGGACTCCTCAGAGGGTCTTCCGACCCGCTATATAAGAGATCTCCCCAACATCCTTCAGCTCTCCACACAACACTTCTCAAAGCAACTTCAAAACTTACTCCAGAAGATATATCGAAACGTCTTCCAACGAAACCCCTATCCACCACAATTCATTACCACTATCACCTCACCAAAGTACCTCCCCTCTCCCCCTCCCTCAATCCCCCCACCACCCAAGCCCTAACCGACCAACCCCTCTCAGAGCAAAAATGGGCAACTCCAACAGCACCGCCACCGAAGAACTTAACCGAAAGATCACCAATACCAACAAAAAGATCATCGCAACTTACCGCGGATACGAAAAAGCCTTGGAAGAAATGCAAGCCACCATCGAGAGACTCCAAGAGCGAATCGACCAGCGCAAAGAATCCCAGGACCTGTTGTCCGCCTTACTCTGTAAGACAGTCCCCGCCATCGACCTCGCCCAGAGGAGGATTTCGAGGCTGGAGAGGTCAAGGATCGGGGATGTTGATGAGTACGAAGTGAAATATGGTTTGGATGGTGATTCCGGGCCCGAGGGTGCTGGGACCGCCGGCTGTGAAAAGGAGTCGCTTTTTTCCGGGATGTTGGCGGGGTCGGGGTCGCCGAGTTATGGGCATTTGTCGGATCTCGATTTGGGGTCTATTTCTTGGGGTAGCGAGGACGCTCAAGATCTCGGTCTGGGGTTGGCGCTGGCGCCGCCCAGGGAGGAGGGCTTCCGTGAGGGGCGGTGGGGGGGCTTTATTGTTCGACTACTCCAGGACGTACAGGTGTGGATGGTGGGTGAAGCGAGAATCATTCTTACATATTCCATTATTGCATGGCTATATAACCGGTATGGTTAAAGTTGAATTAAATCTGTTGAGGTAAATTGTATGGGTTGGTTCGATCTCTGTTGTGACGTGAAGTAGTAATACGCGTGCGCTTTCGTTACGGGGGGGCGTTTCGAGAATGCTGGCCACTTCACCGGTCAAGCATGATAGTGGATCTACCGACTCTCACGAGAAATAACTAAAAGTAGAGCGCTTTACAAGTTTCAAACCGCCGTAGTATATAGACCTTGTAGGAAAAGGGGCCTCAAACAAAGAGCTAGGAAAATAGCCAATACCATATCCCTCGCCATTCGTATGATAGCAGGCCATATACCTAAAATTCCGAGGCCAACTTTACTCTATATCGGTCTCCAGGATACATACCTTCTAACCTAGTATCATAGAGCCTTATATCCTACCCCCTAGACCGACGTGCGACTGTTTCGCCCTTCTCAAAATTTCCCAGTATCTCAAGATTGAATATCCTCGCTTTCTTTTGTTTTTTTCCATTGGAATACATGCTGCCGAGTGAGATACCATGATGATCCCGCAAACGTCCAGCCCGAAACAACCACGAATCACGCCCTCCGCCTCCCTCCCAGAACCCTTATCCGTATTGCAGAAATGTGTCAACGATGCGCTAATGAGTTCGGAAAACTACAATGGAGAATTTGTGGAGGGATGGAGAGGAGCAAGCAAACCTTTTTTCCCCCGGGAGGGTAGTTAGCATCCCACGCACTACCAGTTCAAACTCCGACCCACCGAGCACTCCCCGAACGGACGCGGAGACTTCGACGATAACAACACTGCAAGACAGAATTACCCCCTGCTAGAATTTACCTGCGCCAACTGGACGCTAGAACAGGTGGCAGAATACACCGCATCACAGCAAGGTCACCAGCTCAATGGAATTGGGGATCGGGGGGGGGGGGGAAACAGCGGAATTCCTGTCGTGTATTTTCCGTCCCGGGGGTGTGTAAACAACTACCACCCTGCTGTGCCAGCTTATGATACCAGATGCATCACATCCCCTTCATTTTCCAGGTCGAGGGTAATACCGGTTTCGCAGGCAATTAGAGAGTTGCGGTTCGGGGGGGTAATCGGATACTCCAGGGATTCTGAAAGGCAAATTCCTGACCAACATTCTTTCCGATGGAGTGCGCAGATTTCCGGGTCCTCCTACGGTTCCCCGTCCCCAAGCTCAGCAAATACCCCGAGGAGGATAGAGCGCTCTGGTACGAACTCCACTGCTACTGCTAGGCCTACGCCGACCTCCCTCCGCCAATCTATAGTTTCAGGATATCTTGGTCGTCCACTTTGGACTCCCACAGGACCCGCCCTGCACTGCCGTACCGACAACCACCGGATAAGCGCCAAAGTCGGCCCCCTCTAGATACTGTGCAAAATCAATCACAGTAACCTGACCCGCCGTCCCCGGGAGTGCTGGTCTGGCGAACTCACACACCTCAAGCCTTCGAGAGGGTACCGAAAACCCGGCCGCGAAATATGTACTGTGGCCCGCAGGGATTGTTAATTTTGAACTCTGCGCTACAATCCTGTGATGGGAAAGGCGCTAGATATGAAGCTTTTCAGACAAATACCCCCATCGACGAATTTTCGCTAACCGGAACGAAAAGAAGAAAAACTCAAGAGGAAGTCCTAATAAGCAAAACCAAAGCTAAGGTGTGCACAACCCGGAAGAGTGCAAAGAAACAACTCAAACTCACGGAGCCCAAATACCAACCCCATGCCGTACCACCTCCAAGATCTCTAGTAGTTAAGGGGACCCAGAAAAATCCTGTACTTTCTAGGGTAATACGCTGCGAGCCCAAGGAGCACCTCCTCTTCACCAGTGGCAACCTCTACGAGTATCGTACCAGTGGACAGGAACCCAGTACCTAGATTAGCTTATCCCGAATGGCATAGTTGAACTACACGGCTCAGCACTACGAAGATTTTCAAATTACAATTGTGACGTAGCATCACAACATCTCACTCGCCAACGACCCCTCACCACCCAACCCTTCGACTAAGTTCCACCTTCCGTAAAAAGGCTCCTAATTCGAACTGTCACGCCAACCGCCCAGCACCCACACTAACCTACCCGGTAAAATATATACAAAAAAGAAAACAAATGTGCAGACTAGAGTAGAGCAGAAGTTCCACAATTAGCGATCAGAAACGGCAAAAATAGTAATAATCAAAAAGAAATAGCAACGTAGAAAAATCACATATCGCACTTTATGCGGGATCAACGGGGTTGGAGGGAAGTAGTTTTAGAGAGGAGAGATAGGAAACAGTTGTTGAAAAGAAAAGAAAAATGAAAGAAAGGTGGGGGAGAGGAAACACGATACGAGTGCGAGAATCCGAGATTCTAGTTCTCATACTCAGCCGTTCTCTAATTGTAAAGGTATAGAAGGAGGAGAGAAGAGGAGAGGACTCAAAGTAACCCCCCCTTCGCTGTTGCCTCTGACGGGTCGGAATCGTAGAGAGGAAGGAGAGTACCGGAAGAGTAGAGTAAAATATGATATACTAATTCAGATATCAGGGTGGGGATTGTTGCCGGCCAAACAGAGAAATCGAGAAAAGAAAGAGAAGATCTCCATACAATAGAGAAGAGCCGCCATCACCATCGCCATGGGTCAACTGTGGAAACCCAGATACTATACCCGTGCCAGTCAGGCAACAGCACGCCTACAAAAGGTAACTAGGGAAAAGAGGGGGAAAAATACATTTGATAAGAGCGCTAAAAAAAAGAAGGGGAAAAAAAGAAGGGAAGGAGGTAGAGGAGAGCGAAGAAAAAAAAAGAAAAAAAAATTGAAGCCATGTACTAGAAGTTGTAAATAACAAATGCCCGTAAACCCCACGAATGCTAAAACTTCAATGCCGTCTGACCAATCATTCTGAAACCAAACATTACCACTACTGCCGCCTAGGCTTCCTCTCTGCTGCCCGAGCTAACACCGCGCTTCAATACCTGGTTGGAGCCTTGAGATAATCGCTGCGGTGGTTGTCGTTGCGAAGGTAGTCGTTTCGAAGGTTGACGAATGCCTCAGGTCCCCCCCCTTCACTTAGCTCATTAATTAGGATGGTAGACTGTTGTACAAGTCGTTCTAAAGCAGCGACTGACGATCTCCCCATTGAGACTAATGGTTTAGATCAATATTAGCATATAATTACTATTATAAAATAGAGAGACGTACCAAGAATAGCAGAATTGAGCTCTTCAGCCACGGAGACCCGCCCCTCTTCATCCAGTAAGTGAGCGAGGACAGAGTTTCTAGGATCTGTATAAGCCAAAAGACTAAAAGCCTCCTCTAAAGCCTTCCTGATCTCTGGTCTGGTGTCCGATGAGAACTCAACCCTCAAATCCTGCCCATATTTGACTGCAGCATCCAAAGCACTCTTTGTCTGATCCACCCCCATACCTGTTTCAACGCCACCACTCCCATCTTCATCTTCAACATCCATCTCCTCCCAACCAGTTCCGGCGCCTGCGGGGTCGTCTATTTCCATGTCTTGCGCGAAAACACCGACGATGGGGTCATCGTGGGAACCACTCGAGCCAGTAGGGCCATCGTGAACCTTCTCCGCAAACTGCCTGATCATCTCCACTAGTTTCCTACAACGTAATCTAAAAAATATCGCCTGGTTGTTAGGCAAAACAGCAGGGTAGTGTTTGTTGGTGAGGTCAAGTGCGCGATCCACGTCACCTTCGAGAATCGCGCCCCGAATTTCTGCAAGAGTATGTTAATATTAAGAGTGGGGTAAAAAAAAGAGAAAGGAGGGAGTTGGAAGGTACTGTATCTTACTTTGGCGATGTATTGCATCTTTATCTTCCTTCATCTCTAGAGTTTTCAGAGCACCAGATCGTCCACTATCTAAGGCCCTAGCCTCGTTTTGGACATCATCTGAAAACGCCCTTGCAGTATCAACATATCCGTCGTGAGCAAGATATTGCGATACGAGAGCCTGTATCAGGGCAGCCTCATCAAGGGAGGGGCAAAGACCCGCTGTAGGGTGGTTGTTGATCTCGTCGTAAACTTTTCTCTTTTCGTTCTGCATGTTTGTGTGAATTCAGATTTTCCTTGGAAAAAGACGAGCAAAGAGAGGACATACATTCATGTAATGATCAATATCAAAAACAAACCTCTCTTGACCAAAATTGACACGGACGTGCTCCCCAGGCCTTTTCATGCCAACTGCTGGGTATAATTTTCCCTTGATATCTCTGAATGCGGTACCCAATTCAACACCGTTTTTTGTGAAAAAAGCAGTACCGGTCCTGAAGTTTACACCACAGCCAATGATATCATTGGTTGAGAACTGAGGACCGTACTGTTTTCCAGTGCCCTGACAGCAAAAGGAATTTCCATCATCACCATGATATCCCCATGATTCGGGCTCCCATCCCGGTAGCCTATTAAGTTGCACTTTCTGTGTGCAAAACCCAACACCAATTAAACTGCACCCAAAATTTCAGCATGCTATTTATGTCGCGGAGATGGATCATCGGCCTACCCTTCCTTCCCTTTTGAAACAACCGTAACTTCGTAGTAGAACAGTCCACATTGTGGTGGCATGGGCTGATCGGCTCGTACGGCTACAGCATCATTGTCGCTAGCTTTTTGAGGGCCTAGGATTCCAACAAGGGGGTTGGAACCAGGATTAGCTCTGAAGAAAAACTTTCAGGGAGTATACGTAGTTGACGGGGTAGGTTTACCACTAAATTTAACTTCCATTCCATTGTTTAGAAGGTCAATTCCCGGGCACTTGTCGTTTTCGTTCCATCTTGTAGGCAGTGGATTCAACGCATCATCGTCACCCGAAACATTCTCGATAACATCATACGCCAATCCTCGGTGAGTCTGCGAGACCTTTCCAGATAGTGTCAAGGACGACGGTGGTGTAGGTAATGGGTTAAAGACCGCGGACCGCGCAGCGAGCCTCTCGGCATAACTTGACTCTGCAAGATAGCTAGGAACAGTGGTAGGTTGCTGTGCTGCTTGATTCTGACTCATAGCGTGACTATTCGAAGAGGGGAAATTTATGGTGGAATTTGGTAAATGTCGGGAATGTACCCCGGTCCCGTTGTGATGGTTGAGCTCCGAAGTGAAGGCAGAAAGACGAGATTGACCAGAGAGGACCGAAGCATAAGAACCACTGGGGGCCACGATGGAACGTCTGAGGGAAGATGAACCAGACATTGTTGCAGCAGCCTGACTCGAGGCCGCTGGGATCGAGTTGGTCATGAACGGGCCCAAGAGACCTGCGGGGATGTATTATCGGACTAGGGGTGACAGAAGCGGGTGGTAGATACTGTTTTTGGACAATAATTCGGTCTTCGATCGTTATTAGACAACACCCGTTTACGCGAGGCTGGGCCAGATTACGGATGAAGCTGAGTTGGCCAACCTCCAGCGCGGTTGGATAGGTCTGGTTTGCGGAATGAGAGGATGCGGGGGATAGAGGGGGTGAGTAAGGCGAATTTTTGGAGGGGAAAAGCAAGGGGGGGTGGTTGTTGTTCTTGTTGTTGTAAGTGGCTGGATAGCGGGGCGTACCGTTGAATGATGGATGATGATGAGCGCAGACGATGATCGTGTAGTCTGTGTATTATTGACACTTTGACCACTCTCTTTCGCCTTGGAGGCTACAAAACAAGCAAAAAAACAGGAGTAGTGGATGTGAGAGTAGAAACTGTGGGGAGAGAGAATGAGAGGAGGAGGAGCGAAGAGGGGGAAATCCAGCCGGGCGAGACGAGAGGTTGTAGAGTTACTGGATAAGAAAGTGAAAACGTAATGGCAGAAGGATACTTGTACCGTTGAACCCTTAATCTCATCCTGAAGATATTATGACAAGCTTTGTCGGTGCTAGTGAAGTTTCAGGCAGAGACTTTTCGACCCGATACATATACATATCACTATTGTAATTTCACTGCTCCTTCCCTTGCTCTACTCCCATTCTACCCTACAGAATATCACAGATGCCGATTGTAGGCGGTATCCTGCAAGCAAAAGGACTCTGAGGGCACAGCACTGGTTGGTAGACGGGTATTTTCCTCACATCCATCTAATATAACGAAAGTCATATCACCTAGCCACAGCGCGTTTGAACCTACTTATTCCTACACTGGAAAAAAAATTATTGCGATATTACGGTACTCGTATTATCCTCTTGGATGTTCAAGGTGCGGGGACTGGTGATGTATTGGATCTGGGGAAAATGGAGAGCTCGACCTAAGACACCAAAGAGACACCAGTACCAGTGGTCCTCGATCGGGAAGGGGTGAGGGGAAACATCGAAATCCCACCAGGACAAGCAGCAGGACCTGGATGGGGGCTTAACCTACCTTATGCATGGCACCTGTATGATATGATATTTGTTTTGTGCCTTGCGCTGCCATCATGTGGCGTCGCAATCTGATAAGTTAATCTTTGACAAGATTCCTTTGCGGCCAAAAAGCTCTCTCGGCCCCTGGGTCCTATTATTAGTAACATGTTAGCTAATCCAAAGGCGTCTCTCATCAATCTTGGCACTCATTACTTCCCCATAGATTTCATTTTTGAAGGTCGAGTCGTGACACCGTCAGCGGACGGATGAGGAAACAAAAGAACACAGTGGCACTCTTGAACCAGGAGCCTATTCTCTCGGTCATTCGTGCCACATCACGCTTGCTCTACGATCGACATTCAAATCTGTACGGTACCTACCTGTGACCCAGACACCCTATGCAACTCTACTCCTCCGGATCTCTCGTGAGCCAATTCAGCGCTCATCCGTTCTGTCTAACCCTCTCCTTACCCCCGCTTTTCTCTACGGTGCCTGGGATATACTGCGAATACTAATACTCGAGTATATGCCACTGCTGTTCTGCTAGATCGCGGGCGGAAGGGAAAATGGAAGCATTAGCTAGTTACGCTCCTCCGCCAAGGCTTTATATGGGATTAATGGATGGGTCAGTCGACCTCTGCATCTGCGCTGTGGATGACTGCCAGGACGGGGGAAGGAGGAGGAAATACTCGAGCACTTGGAGTCCAATTAGCTTGTCATACACACGTACCATACTGTACCGTACATTGCGTTCAAGAATGAAAATCCCTCCCGTCCATCTCCATGAAACACCAGGCGATGTACGGTAGTGGAAAAAATAGGAAAGCTGGATCGAGAATCTCCTCTTAAGTCTTGCGCATTTCGAACAGACGAACGGCGATGATAGTGGTGGGAAGGGGGGGGGAAGAGAAAAAATGAAAAACGGAAGAGAAAAAAAAGGGCGCAGGCTAGGAAGGAAGGCGGTTACCAAGGAAAAATGAAATAAAATGAGGATACTGTAGGCCAAACCAGCTTCAGGAAGTTAGTCGTGTTGCACACTTGACCTTTTTTATTTTTTGTCTTCTTGTCGGTGTCGGCTGGATGGGAGGACCCACGACACAAGGGTTTGTAATTCTTTTTTCTCTTCTCTCCCTTCCATTCTCGGGGGACGGGCGAATATTCAGGACAAAGGCCAATTTTCACCAAGCGATGAGAGGGAGAAAAGAGAGGATGCTACGCTATTGCAAAGCAAGCTACATACACCGAAATATATTTACAGGTGAGATTGGTGGGACAAGGGGATGGATATCTGACAGTAGCAGTGCAGTTTGGAATGGATTTGAGTATGAAGGCGTAACCAGGAACAAACAAATGAGATGGTGGATGGTGGATGTGGATGCCATGGTGGAAGGCAGGATCACGAGAAACAGGACAAACCAACTGCCATTGACAAGCATCATCAAAGAGCGAGGGATAAGAAACCACAGGCGTTTATGCAGACATGTGTACTGTACATTACAGCACCGTTGCAGGGAATGTTTCAATGGACCTGACGAGATCATGACAACGATTATGATTACGATGATGATAGTCTAATTACAATACCATAAAGTAAAGCATTTACATGCTGTAGATTTTTGTACCATACTGTATTACACCGGTCACTGCATGCGATACTTAGATCAGGGTTGTCCCGTTTGCTGCAAAAGCTTTTGGCTTGAATAGGATATTCGAGTATGCAAGCTTTTCATAATATTATGTATTGGATAGTATCCTCACCGAAATTGAGCGTAAGGATTGTCGAAATGGTTACGGAAGGGAAGAAGGAAGGAAGGAAGAAGGGATGGTGGTAATATAACAGAAACAAAAAAGTGGAGGTATTGGTGGAGGATTAAAGAAGGATATGGGAAAGAGGGGAGTTGAACTGGTAAACAACGGATGCTGTGCTCCACGATAGATAGTTAGTACAGGTACGAGTACAATAGATCATGGACGGATTGGGGGGGTGTTGCTCTTTCATCGTTTCTGGAGCAAGAGGGTTTTTCTTTTTTTCTCTCTTCCTCCTCCTCCTCCTTGGTGCTTCAAGCGGTTACCTTGGTGTTGCTCTGTTGCCCCCCCTCGTTCTCAAATCTTCCGTTCGTGCTTGCTCCGGCTGAGACTTTTTGCTCAGCAACAACGGAAACCTTCACTCCACCCAGCCTTCCGCCGCACCACACCCAAAGACCCCAACCGACTTCGGCCCTACCCCTAGAGAGTTCCAGTGCTCACGGCTACCACCACTAAAGTAACAAGCACAATAATAAAATGCATTGCCCTTCCCACTCCATTTTTTCTTCTGCCTTCCCCTTTCCCACCCCCAAACACTCCTTTCCATTTCTCGACACAACACTCCTATCGCCACAATCATCAATACAATCATCACCATCGTGTTTCCCAATCTCGTTTCCGCTACTCTTCTCCGACGATCGTCATTACAGTTGTTCACATTTTCCAAACGAGGTGGATCCGCCCGGCCTTTCCTCGCCTCAGCTCTCTTAAATCAAAAGTAAGCACACCACTCTCCCCACGACGACGGAGTAACGGTAGCAGGAAGCGGTATTGAGGATTTGAATTTTGAAGCCTCTCATTTTACTATTAAAACATCTTATGCCTTCCGCTCACACAGAAGCCTAGATTTTTCTCCACCATATCCCGACATGCCTGCCTCTTCAGGTTCAGCCGTGAGCTCCTCTCTTCCATCGCTCTCGCCTTCACCTCAAGAATCAGGTTCTACATCCTCATCTGGCGCCGGATTCGTATTGGCACCGCCTCCACCACCTCCGCCTGCCCCTCCTGTCAGGGAGCGCAAGAAACCTGGTCCGAAACCGAAGCCAAAAATTCCTCCTTCGAAGATCATCAAACTTAAACTCAAGTCCGAGATTTTAGCTGCTTTCCCTCATACACCTAAGTCTGCTCAGGATTCGTCTCCAACAGCGCAGGCCTCGCCAGGCAGGGAAGGTTCCTCGCCAGTTAATTCAGATGTAAACCTAGCCCAGGCACCAGAGAGACCTCGAGGGGTCCCCGGCCCAAAGCCTGGGTCTAAGCGAGGAAGACAGCCAGGTGCATTACTCGGGAAGCCCGGGCGAAAGAAGACAAAGCTGTGAGTGTCTACTGTAGTCATGATACATTATGTGCTTGAAGGGGATGAAGATAACTGATTGCCCAATTTGCCATAGTGATCCCAACGCCTCCCCAGCGTCTTCGATGAATGGCATATCTCATCATGCCAACCATGGAAAGTTAGGACCTAAGGCCAACCAAGGCGCAATCAACGCGCAGTTACGTGCTCTTGATAGGACCGGAAAGCCTTGCAAGCGTTGGTCCAAGGCTACCTTCAGTTTAAAGTCATTCACCGGCGTCCAATGGACTATCCCGACCTGGGGTGCTCCTATATCCGACCAATCGGCCCCTCCTACCCCACTAGCGGGAAGTCAGATGGAGGAAGTTTCGGCTGCGCCTTCGGTCACCTCAGAAACACCAGAGATCAGGGTCCATGCCGACGTAGATGCGATGAACGTCGACAGCGAATTCCCTGCTCAACCGTTCGTACCGAATCAGCAGTCGCTAATGGTATAATCTCGAAAGAGACAAACAACGACGAACAGACATTTCTTGGGCAATAGTATGCACCCTCCTTGTTGATTAACCTCACATCTCTCGATTTACCAACCCCTACTGCTAGACCATCTGTCGCCCACAATTTGCATTCCCGTGCACACCTGACTACGTTTTGCGCCTGTATCAACAATAGTTCACACATCGGCCTTCTTAGCTTTGTTCCTTGAAGCGCCTTTTTCCGTCAAAAACAACTAGACAGTCCATCGCCTTAACCTCTCTTTCTGGCCTTACCTGTCTTATCTACTTCACTGGCTACTTAAAAATTTGGGCTCAAACTGGCGTTATTCAATATTTGTTGTATCATTATCTACTCGAGTATCATCACTCACAAAACCTCTGCTCTTTTATTTTATTACTTGTTCGCCTTTAGCCAATAACTTGCTCGGTTGATGTACTTACCTGTTATTACTTATCTATCTACCAAATAACTTCACTACCCCTTTCTTTATCGTCCCTTTCCTCTTCCTTTTCTTGCCTTCTCCTTTCCTCTCTTTGCTGGTAAATAAAGAGATGAGATTTTGTCTTGGCGTTAGTATCTTTCTTTCTTCTTTTCTACCTTTTCATACTTGACTGCCAGAAATAACCGCAGCGAGCTACAGCCTTGATGGGTTTCCTTTCCTTTCCTTTCATTTTTTTCTTTTTGCGTTCTGTTCCTCTTTCCCTCGTCCCAAAATTTTCTTCTTTTGTGGTGGTATCCCGGTCCGTTTGTACTCGTAGGTTCGTGCTTTAGACGGGGGGTATGGTATGGTAACTAACTTATTTTTGGGCATTTTCCATTTTCTTTTTTCATGTTCGCCATATTATGATGGGTGGGGGTGGATGGATGGACACCGGTTTGTGGGAGGCAAAGGGAAAAGGAAAGGGGAAAGTAAAGGGGGAGGGAATACGGTGCACAGGTTCTCTATCGGCAGTATGATATTCTATTTCTTTTGCTGTTTTGCGGGGAGTAATATACTTATAATAATACTATTTCTTTTCATTTTCATTTTTTTCTTTTCAACTTTGGGAATTCATGCTTGATGTGCGGAGAGTATTGCGGAGTGGACACAGAGAGAGAGAAAAGGGGGGGGGTAAGCTACAGTCATGGGGGGATGGGAGAGGGTTTGATCTGCCGTTTGAAACGTCGCCCTGTTTCCCGTTATTCCCGACATGGTTCGGATTTCGTGGGGTGTCGTGCAGGTGATATCACGGAAACGAATGGGAAGTCATGCGATTGTGGGGAATAAGTAATGGCAAAAAAACAGATTCAATAATAGACATAAGTTGAGCCATTTAGCATGAGCCAACTGCCACGACGGTGGTGTACCGTACACTAACCTCGTTTCCGTCCGATTTCCACCTAGCATACCAAGCCAATTAAAGTTTACCTAACGCCCAAACAATGCTGCCTTTTTGTCTCTAAAACAGAAAAGAAACCCTTCCACCCCCATGAATTAATCTTCCGCTTCTTTATGACGGAGCATGAGCAGACGCTTGTACTCCTTTGGATCTTTATCCCAGAGCTCAGCTGCCTGGCCGTTTAACGGGCTCTTACTGTGACAGTTATCAGGATTTGATACCAAGGCAGAATTGAGGCGGGGGAGGGGGGGAATACTTATTAGGTTCCCCCAACAAACTCTGCAAGCTCAAAAGGATACTCTGAACGTTATACACAGCGCTCCACTTATCCTTCAAGATATCCAAACAGATCCTGCCGGACATATCCACATTGGGGTGGAACATTGGGGTGGTGAAGAGCACGGTGGGTGGCGCCATGGGGTAGTTTGACGGGAACTCCAAAGAAAGCTTGAAAGTTAGGGATTCGTATGGAGTTCCTTCGGGGCCGTTTATGGTCCCTGTCCAGTGTTGGAGGTTGCCATCGGTGGGGAAGGCTGAGATTCCGGGGGTTGTGGACATCATGAGTTGCATTAGCTCGGTTTGGAGTCTGGAGGTTTGGTTGTCAGTTTAGCTTCTTAGAGGGGATGGGATGAGGGAGAGGGGGGGACGGAACCTCTTGGATACGGACTGGCCGCCGTTTAGAGTGGTTGTGGACTTTCCGGGACCAGAGGTGTTGGTGGTTTCAGTAGATTGGTCCATGGTTGAACGGCAGGTGAGGATAGTGGGTGTTTTCTCCTGATACTTGATCTCTTAGTTGAAGTGGCGGGGGGAGAGGGAGGGGGACGGAAGGAGGAGAGGATTGAAGGAAGGGTTGAGGGGGGGGAGGGACATGTAGCATAGAAGTAAAGATCTACGAGGTGAGTTGGTTGTTTAATTTGGGTTGCTGGCGGAGTAGGAGCGCTAGTAAATATGCCAAGCTTGGTTGCCACGACAACAGGAGAGCACGCAATTTACCGTAACTCGCGCTTAGTTATCATGCTGGTAGAGTACGAGTACAGCACTCGAGTGCAGCACTGGAGCACAGCGAAGCTACAGTTACTGGAAGGTGCTGGATCTTCGGTCACAGCCGCGCGCAACACGATACTCGTACATACAACGCCCTGGAAAGGGGCATATCAGAAATCACATTTTGGAGCCTCCATTAAACGATAATATCCGTAATTTTGCGAGCTGCCAATTGGAATTCACTATTCGAAGGTTTTCCACAACGATACGATACATCCAGCAACGGACGGGTCGATTCGACTTCAGATCTGAACGCCTGCAGGAACTTCCACGTTCAGTACATCCACCCCTCCAACAATCTCATCCTTTGTTGGCATCATTTTTCTTCGCATCAGCTCAGCGCATTGTGTCATATAGGGGTCCTTTTGCATCGTGGCCACCGCTACTACGTCCTGGCCTTTGGTATAGTACGCGATGAATTTAGCTTCGTCGGGATTTCCTCGGAGGACAATGTCGTCGTAGCCTAGTTGAGACATTTAGTATTGTTGCTCGGGCTGCCAGGCTCGAGAGATAGAGCTATTACCCTTAGGTGTGGCGCCACAGTATCGAAGCTGGGAGCCTAGAGCTGACCAGAACACTGGGATGAAGTGAGTTGGCTCGCTGTTTGTTGTGATGTGAAGTGCTGCCTGGCGACCTGCGTTTTGGGCCACGTTCCAATGCTCTATTATGGGTTAGGATAATGTTTCCGGGAAGGAGCTGTGAACGCTACCTACCAATTCGCACCTTGGTATTTTCATCTGAGCCCGGTCCGTTATAAGGATAGGTTGCAATATCACCTGGGGTTATTAGCTTCCTGTATTACCATGGGGTATGGGATTCGCACCGACAGCGTATGCATCTTCGACTCCTTCGACACGGAAATATCGATCGACTTTCACTGATGCGTCATCCTCAAGCTTGATGCTGCTTTGCTTCAGGTAATCTGTGGCAGGAACTACCCCCACTCCGAGGATCACAAGATCTGCCTCGAGCTTCTCGCCACTTTTCAATAGGACCGACCCAACTTTGCTAGGGTCTGCTGAAGAAGGTTCTGCAAACTCTACTCCAGAGTTCATCCGGAATTTAACCCCACTCTTCTCGAGCTGGTTCTGGAAGATCTTTCCAACCATTGCCCCCATAACACGTTCTCTAGAACAAATTGTTAGCCTTGGTCAAATTTGTAGAGGGCGTGGTGGAACCCACAATGGAGCACCCTCCATCCCTACGATTGTGATGTCATTCCCCTTCTGTGCTAGGCAATTTGATACCTCCATTCCTAAACCGAATGTAAGAATGATCATCTTTATGAGTTCAACAAAACTCACCGATGAAGCTACTGCCAACTACAACAACCTTCTTTCCGTTATCCCCAATTGCCGAGTTGATACCCTGCACATCATCAACATCTCTCAGCACGAAAATATCTCTTAGGTCCTTGAAGCCTCTCATAGGCAACCTCTTGGGAGTTCCTCCAGTACATAGCAAGACTTTTGAATACGAGAATTCACCTCCCGTTTTGGTATGGATCTTGTGGGCCTTGAAATCGATTGAAGAAACCTCTGTCGAAAGGTGGAAATCTACCCCGGCGTCACGGAAGTGCTGAGCATCTCGCCATTGTAGCTTTTGCTCATCAGGGATCAGTGCTTTGGAGAGCTTGGTTCTGTCTATCGGTAGATATCTCTCTTTTGTTAAAACTGTGATTTGGCCCTTAAAGCCTTTCTCACGGAGGACTTCGATTGCCCCCATGGCCCCAGAGCCACTGGGAAGGTCAGCCTTGGAAAAAGGGCTGTCGTAGGGGTTACAGACCCTCCAACTATGACAACATGCTCCGAGGCAGCAGTGATAACAGGTTTGTAACTAACATCTGGTTTCCGTTTACCAGCTCTGATTGTCGCTTCATCACCAATGATATAGGCTGCGCCATTCTTGATTGAGACCGGGAATGCGGCTAGATGGTCTAGGGCGGGGGCATCTGAGTTTTCAGCAAGTCAATTCCTAGTCGTGCCCTCAATTAGAATGGGACAGTGAAATTAAAACATACTTTCAATGTCCCCCGAGTCGGTGTTAAAGCAAGCTCCATGCCAGGGACAAGTAATTCTCCCATCACCAGCAATCACACCCTTAACCAGCGGTGCTCCGTAATCTGTTCCGCATACCAATCACCAAGTTAGACCCCCCTACACTGTCGGTTAAACAATTCACTCGCTCATACGTGTGCATTTGGCCCCCAAAGCTCTCAACTGGTCATTAACTTTTAGCAAAATCACTTTCCCGCCCTCTACTCCTTCAACTTCCGCCTCAACCTTCTCCCTATTCCTTAGGTCCACATTATCCAACTTAAGCTTGTATTCCTGAACAGTAGCCATTGCCCTGCTAGCCAAAATTGGTAGAGCGGGTATTCTAGCAAAGCTCGGCTTCAAAATCTGTGGTGTGCAGTATATTCCTGGGCAAGTAGAAGCTCGAACGAAAGAGGCCTGGCCAACGGTGGTGGATCGTAGTAAAGAGAGAGCGTGTTGCATTCAAGCGGGAAGGAATACTTGATGAAGGAAGGAGGGGGTGCGAGCGTTTTATTGCGCGTACCGCTATTGCCACACACACGGGCACAGAAGAGGGGTAAAATGTGGATTTCTAAGGGAAGGGAAGGGAAGGGTAAAGTGGATATTTTTGGGTGGTATGATAGTAATCAATAGAGTTATCATGCCAGAGGTTCTCGCGCATCAAGAGTCCATGACAAACCCCAACAAATATTCAAAAATTGGACTTGAGGAGTACAGGTGCAATGCCATCCTTATGAATACGTTAAGGTATTAAGTTATTGAGGTTAGTACTTGGGCCGCTCAATTCCAAGTCCGATTTCAAGGTTTTTTTGCTGGTGGGATCGAAGAACCGGATCACCAAGCCTCGTCATTAACTTATGTTAACACCATTTGGGTCTCTCTCTGCCGAAACCCTCTCTATTCGTCGAGGATTGAATTTGGAATGATTCCTTACTGTAGTGACGTTATGCACAGCACTGGCCAATGGATAAGCCTGATTTTCAAAGCAGCTGGGTGATCACTAATCTTTCTTTGAAACATCCAAATTCGTAACCAGGCACGCTAAGCCAGTCACGAAACGATTTGAATTTTGTGATTTGCTGAGAATATTGCGCCTGCCAGGAGCGCCGTGTTGTTTGGGAGCAGGGGGGGTGGTGAATATCCAATTATTTAACCAAGTTCAGCTAACTGTTGCCAAATCTGGCCTTAGCACGGACTGTTTTGGGGAGACAAGGGATGTGATTCGGGCCTTGGCTGGGCAGCGTTACAAGATCCAGGAAGAAGTTATGAGACAGTTATTTGAGGTTAGCCAGCCAAAGATATCTGTTCAAGTTGATGGGTACCTACCCTTGTACTTGTATGACGTTGATATGAACTATTTTTGGTTCGTGTGGGTTACTCGAGTAGACGAGTGTGTTTTGCAACAGTCACACGTTGGTGGAGAGATCCTAAAATTGATGCAGCCTCTCTACTCTAACGTCATAAAATTCAGTGCCCTTGTATTATTCTGTTGGATTCACCAGAGTTTTCTCCAGGTTCAATTATTTTTTTATCATCAAATTAATAAGAGCTCCGCCAAAAGGCATATAGCTCGACGGCAGCACATGGGAATCATCACCGAGATGGGTTTGTTGGTACAAACAAAGATCCCGCAGTGGACCGCCAAACCGCAGCAACTCGGCTCTCTTGGCAGAATTATCCCCAGGGGACGCGAAAAGGTATTGAAAAACCTAAAGATGCATGACCCAGGAAGATCACTACTTGGTGAATTCTCAGCTATTCGGAGAAGACGCGAAACCCAGGAGTCTGTGCTGCGTGTCAACAGGGCCAAGGAGGGGTCTAAAGAATTTGCGTCTGATGATCCCCGGGCACGACAGCTAGGCAGGACTTTATCCGACGGGTTTGCGGTTATCAAGGAGAAATACCGTATACTCCATTACCCCCCCCCCGTTTGCTGTCATAATGCTAACAAAGTTACCGTATATAGGGGCCCCAGATAACCCAATTGTTCTGGTATGCCTCTAGGGTTCCACACAAGATTATGATAAGGGTGCTGATTCTCGGTAGTGCCACGGACTTCTGGGGTTTGACGAGTTAAGGCTTGCAGGGAATTATCTCCCTGGGATACGCTACTGGCGGGGAGTAACTGAGGCTTTCAATGCTAATAATATCGAAGTCATTCTTACCAGCGGTTTGGCACCCCTGACCCAGACTGTTTGGGTGCTTACTGGTGATTGTGGTTTTCCAGTGCCGGCATCCGGATCCATAGAAGTCAGAGCTAAGGCCCTTGCGGAATGTATTCGGCTAAGAGCGAAGGGTAGGAATGTTAACATGATAGGGTGTGACCTTCTGTCCTCTGGGGAGAAACTGAGCTGACAGCGGCCGTGAGTTAGTCATAGCATGGTAGGTTTTGGGGTCTCTTTTGTCTCCCTTTCGTGGTGATTGGGCAAAGGTGCGATAAGATGCTGAGATAGGTTGGGGATAGGGGTAAATATTCCGATATTCAAGGGTTGGGTTATTATTAACAATGCTCGCTGTTCTTCAGGGGAATAGATGCAAGATATATGATAAGTAAACTTAAGCCCTTAGATTTTGAGGTCAGTGAGGTTTTATGTATGAATATTCAGTGGGTTAACTTCTTGATCTTACATATGATACTAGGTGTTGTCTTTGACTACGGTTGCAACGCCCCACAGAGGCTCAGCCTTCGCAGACTATTGCCTCAAGGTTATAGGAAGTAAGTCGAACTGTTTCTTTACGTGCTGGAACTGATTTTCGAAAGAACAGCGAATCCCGAGAGTATACAAAGCCCTGGAAACCATAGGGATGCAAACTGGGGCCTTCTCTCAGTTAACCACAGAATATATGATCAATGAGTTTAACGGGAGCGTACCTAATGAGGAATCTGTCAGGTACAGTGATTGCCATAACTGGAGTCTTTGCGAAGTTGGAATCTCTATGTCCAGGAGATGGGCTGAATGACTACATAGATACTTTTCATATGGTGCCATGACTCAGCCTTCACTTTTTTCAATGTTCCGAGCACCCCACCGGATTATATTGGAGAACGAGGGACCAAACGACGGTTAGGAGATATTTCTCCCCTATGCTGGTTTCAGATTTCTCTCTGATGGCTTAACAGGTCTCGTGTCTGTATCATCTGCTCAGTGGGGCGTCTACAAGGGCACCTTAGTGGGTCCAAGTCATCTTGACATAATCAACTGGACGAATAGATTAAAGTGGATAATACTCGAGGCAACGGGAAGGAGAAATAAGTAAGTATAACCGCCCAAGCTAATCCTAGACATATTTACTGAGTGTAATAGGTTTAATGCCATTGCATTCTATCTTGCCATCGCGGGTAAGTGCTGAACCAATCCACTGGCGGAAAGCCTTATTTGATACTGGCAGCGTTGAGCAAGGCTTTATCGGGTTTTGTGGAACCGCAATTCAGGGAGGGAGAAGTGCTGACATTAGGATACGTGTTTAGACATGTTAGCAGGAGAAGGCTTGTAGTGGAAGAATTTCTTTGTGACAAGCCATGCCATCCAGTTACCTGCCAGACTCAGGGAGCCTCGTCGGGGAGCAGTAGAAGTGCAAATATCTCGAATAACGGACCCTGGACGAGCTGGAGGTTTACGCATTCACCAGACTGAGCAAGCAAAGGGGCGAAACGCGTAAGTGGGTGGCTGTGTTTGTGGGATTCCGGAGGGTGTAAAGTAAAGTAGACCCCGTATCGGACAGTTGTTCGGTAATACTTGGGAGTGCCATGCGTATGGGAGAAAAGGCTGGATAACGAGGGCGGGAGGGGAAGATCGGGCGCAAGAGTTAACAAAGCCCTCTTCCAAGGGCTGGTGAGCTTATGCGAGTATCGTTGACGACAAAATCCCTGCGATATCGGTCCGTACCACTTTGAGTGCCACGCATGCGGGAGAGTGATCATTAAAAAATGCCCTTATTAGCTTAAACCTTATCTCGGGGATAGACGATTCAATTTGCTCTATTATTCCCTCCTTTACATCCCTATCGAGGACCTGAATCCCACGGTTAGGAGTTCACGCGGGGTTTCCAAGCCTGTCCGGGATAAAGTAGTTCTGTGGGAGCATCGGTAGAGTGTAACTTGCTCAGTAGGCCGCAACTTACGTGAGCACTTGTACTCGTACAGGTATGATACTTGAGTAAATTTACTGGCAAGCTACCGACTGAGCCAAAAACTATTCTTAACCCAGATCAAACGTTTTTGGCAGGGGATTTGCGGGAGGCGATGCACAGTTACTAGGAGCGAGATTTGCCAAGACCATTTGGTACCCAATATGGACGGACATTTGTTATTTAGGGTCTTTGGGGGATGGCCCGTGCACCGTGTTACGCTCATTGCTGCGTTCTCTGCCTTCCTTTACGTTTTTGGTGGACTTGGGGTGAGGCGGGGGGGAGGTATGCTTGCTGCTGTTAACTTTGGCCTAACGTAGAATGATAGCGCAGTATATCATACGAGTACAACGGGCAGGGCGTAAGTGTCTGTCGGATTGAGTACCGGTAATATAATATTATAGTAATATCATAATATAGGAAGCTTTCCTATTGGGTAATATTCTTCTTTGGTTTTCTATTCCTGGGGTAGGAAATTCTATTATGGGTTTCCTCATAATATTATTATCATACTAGGTCTTGTATTATTTCTCCTCATCTATCTGATCCCACGGCTTATCCCACCCACAACTTGATGGGTTGGCTTGAGCCTCGCTTGACTGCAGCAGAGTACTGGTGTCATACCTGTATCGTACTGCACCGTGCTCGGGGGAACAGGAATACGCGAGGCTTGACGAGCCGCTTCGTCCCCGCTGCGCCACAAGGAATTGCCCATGTTCAGAGACACCTAAAACTTCTTTCTACCCCCCCGCCCCCACCCCCCGCCTTCCTCCCTTACGGTAGTCTACCCCCTCCCCCCCGCTAACCATTAAAAACCCAGACCACTGAGTAAAGCCTATAAAAGTGTTTCCCGATAAATTCTCAGGCTTCCCCTGCCCTTCCTTTCGTGGGAACGGGGTTATCATAGAAACCAGGCTGACAAGATCGGGCTGTCTAACCTCCGCCCTCCCCTCTTTCTAATTCTCTAATTCCTTCGAAAGGCTGACAGAATTTGGTCCAACGACTTACTTTCTACTTCCTTGCGTGACGTTGGCGGAACTCCGAGATCCTGCTGGCACAGTCTTGGAACTTTCCTCTCTTTTCTTCCCCTCTTAGTTTCGAAATTCGGGTTTCGTTTTGGGGGCTGGGTTGGGACGGTCGGTTGGAGATTGCTCTGTTCTTTTTCATTAGGTTAAGATGTCTGTCAGGATAGAGCTTGATAATCGGGGGAGTTTGTTTACTTGCTTGGACTATGTTACTGGGAAGGTATGGCCATCGTCTTTCTTTCCCCTGTTTTAACTACCCGTTTCATGGACGAGCGGAGCTGATGGTGGCGACGCTGAAAGGTGGTAATGAACATTGCCAATGATGAGACCATTTCTGCAATCACTGTCAAGATGGAGGGAATATCTAGAACCCGCTTAACCCCCCCTAGGAATGACGAAGGCCGAGACTCGAAGCATGCGGAAATCGAAAATCACAGGGTGTGGTCATTCAATATCCCTCCCCCTCCTCCTCCTCCTCGCTCTTCTCCTGCTCGTTCTCCCCTGCTCGTGAGCGACGCTAATTGAGCTATGTCATGACGTCTAAACAGCTCTTGTACCTCGTCCAAACAGTCTTCCCATCGCCTGAGATCAGAGAGAATACCTCCGCCACAAACTCGGGGTACACGCTCAAGCCCGGGCAGTACGAATATCCATTCAAGCTTCGCATACCGGTTAATAGTCAGTGCACGGAGGGACAGGGTGTTGGCGGGAATATTTTGCAACGGTTGAGTTTTGACAAGGGGACTGCGGATATTGCGAGGGATGCTAGAAGACATCATCCTGGGACTTTACCTCCGAGTTTGAGTGGAATTCCGGGTGACGAGGCTTTGATTAGGTATTTTTTGAAGGTTACTGTTATTAGGTAGGTATGGTGGACCGATTTGTGGTATGTGGGTTTGCTGCGAGGAATGGAGAGCTGATGAAAAGATGACATAGGCCGGAATTCTATAAGTTTAATCTACGTGCGGTGAGTTTATATTGGCTGCTTTCATTAGATGGAGAAATTGGGGTGCTGATAGGCCCAGATTGACCCATTTGTCTTTCTACCGATTGAACCTCCACGATCCCCGCCGACTACAAACGAGACCTATGCGAGGCGCCAACACCAATTCATTTACAATGTCTCTCCAGTTTCCAAGAAGCGCGGTCTTTTTAGTCCTTTCCGTCAACAGGCGCCGGCAATCAATACTTTATCCCGGGCGGTCCATTTCTCGATCGAAGCCAGGCTTCCATCACCTGCGATAATAGTCCCCAATATCCAATTACCGTTGAGAGTGATACTGGTTAAGATAGAGCCGTACACAACACCGGTGTTTATTCGGAGTTTGCAGATACACTTATTCGCTTTCACGGGGATTACAGCACATGGTCTTGGGAAAACGGACAAACAGATAATCACTTGCCTAAGTCTTATGGGCTTGCAAAGCCCCATCGGAGATGATTACCAGGCCATCGGGAAGGAGGTTGAGGCGGACCAGGCACTTTGGGCGAATGCTGCACTGCCCGATAGCGTTCCTCCAAGCTTCAGAACCTGTAATATCAGGCGGACTTACGAGTTGGAGATTATCCTTGGGTTATCGCATGGGCGTTCCGGGCCGACAGAAGTACCCCCCCTCAGCAAACTCCCCATCCGGTGGGCGCTAATGAGAAATAGATGGTACCCCTAACCCTCCCAATAAAAGTCTACTCAGGCATCAAACCACCCCCAGGGCTCCTCGAAACAGCCCGCCATCCAAAAACCCCGCAGTTCCCCCCTTTACCCACAAAGGAGCCTGTCCCACCATTGCCCCCCAGAACGCCAACAACCCAGTCTCTTAAGGTCCCAACAGCAGCCTTCGGCGGCTACAATTCTACGAAAAACTCGCCGGTATCATCACCTGTTTCCCCTTCGTTTCCTGCGCGACCGCATTCTAGCTCTTGTGGGGGCGGTGGTTGGGGAGGGGGAAACGGGGGAGGGGGCGCATGGCCGGGTCCAAGGCCTAGCAGTGTATCCAGTGTATTTCCAGAGGATGATATCCCACCGCCGACGTATGAAGATACGATTGCGGAGGATATTGGTCCCGTGGATGGACCGAGAAGGAGATATGAGCAGGAGGGAGCGTATTACGGTGCGTTGCCGGATGATGTGCATGCCTGAGTTCGGGGTGGAGTTGCAGGGGGGGGGGGCTGGTGGAGAGTATTACGGGATGAGTGGGAGGGAGGGGATTAATGCGGTTATTAGATGAGGTACTAGGTAATGATTTATTTTGTCTTGTGAATTTTGATGATTTATTGGACGGGAGTGGGAAGCGGGCAATCGTGGATGCGGGATCTTGAGACGGCTATCGGGAGCAACGATAATGTCTTCTATTCGGGTTTACTCTCGAACGCTCTAGGGTAGGCTTCTTCGGAGCTTTGAATCTGGTTATGATAGCTCCTTGTCCTTGCATTCCCGCTTTGTTTGAAACGGGTGCCATCATAACTACCCCTATATTCCTTCCTTCGGCTGTTTATTTCTCGTGTGAAGACTAGCGCAGTCTTGAGCCATATGAGAGAATAGCACATATATTTTTAATGCACCGTTATGCATCATCCGAGTTAATCTTTTCATTCCCCACCGTCTGGATCGGGAACATTGCACTCTATTGTCGATACATTATGGATTCCGGTACAGTACATACCCCCAGATTGACTGGAACGTCATGAATGCGCTATAAGATGCTTGGTTCATCAGTCATCCCCCTCCCTTCTCTCCACCAAACACCGAAGTTAAAACAAAAGTCGTATGAAAGTGCCTCAGTACCCCTTCCTTCATCCTCCAAGGATTCATCAACTCCCTTGCCAGAAAGGAGATCACCGTCGTAGGTCATCACTCGCGAGGTCGGAGGGTCGGAAGGTCGGGGTGCTGAGGATAATATGGGACTGGAAACTGAACTAGGGGATGGTTAGTGGTGGGTATTGTGATGCCATACTTGGGGTTTTTTGTTTTTATTTTGTTGTCTGGTTCGTAGGACTGGAATTTGGTGGTTTACTTAACTATCATACCTATATAGTAAGGTTTTACTTGGGACCTTTGGGGTTGGGAATTTTTTTTTTTTTCCTTTGCAAGGAATTGGAGAATGGTAGTGCTTTTGCTTGTTCAAGTGTTCTCCATGTAGTATAGCATCATATCATAGTATGGTGTAAGTAAGACTGGGTTTGCTTAGGATGCATCCAGTCACTGTGAGTCCTTGGAACAACCTTTACGATGGCAAATTAATATGTTGCAACAGGAGACAGCAATATAGTGACACGTTGAAGGCTTTGGCGAAAAGCAAAGCAAAGCCAACGTGGCTCATATCGTTATTGGTTCGTGGCAAAATTCCTATAAATTATAGGTTTAATGTTGGCGTCATATAGAGTACACGCATGCTAATTTGGAGAGTATCATACATTTTGGGAAACTTACTATCATAGCTGGTATCATGTTGACATAGGATACACTCAGAGATAACTTGAGTGTCTTGAATTTAAGTGAATATGATATACTTCAAACTTGGTGCTCATGTATACTACCGTATCTTCCTCCCTGTTTGTATTCCTGTTCTTCTCTTAGCTCTAATGATTACACCAGCATAAATTTATGATAAAATTATGCTCATGACTCGATACCCTTCCTTTCTTAGCAGTGATTCTTCGTTTTGATAACTTTAAAATTTTACTGCTATTCGTACCTAGCTGTTAGGAACGCTCGTTAACCTACTCGGGTGGGAATCGGGTTATGTGTGCGCATCAACAGCAAAATCTAACGCCAGTTGCACCGTAACCTGTTTTGCACGCAAGTACGAGTATATCGCAGCGAGCAGCGGTCAATTGGTGTTTATGATATCCTCTTGGCGCGGGTCTTGACAGAGTTTCTTGGTCAATCTTTAATTGGGATGTGACCTCAGGGACGCTGCCAGGAACCCTGGTACTCGGGGTCATCTGCTGTATGATAGAAATCTTGGTGAACGAGGGAAAACCAAGGGGGGTCCAACCGGAAGTGTGTGTTTTCGGGCCGTTGGCATAGTTGATATCCGCTACCCGGGACTGCACTACATGAGGACCCCTTGGGGCATCTGTTTAGTGCTAATAATGCGAATCACCATCAATCAAATGTATCGTACCAGTAGGAGATATTTTGCATTTTCACTGCTGGGAGGGGAGGGCTTGCTGGAAAAGGTTTTTTTTTTTTTTTGAAAAATTCGGGGTGTCGTAATATTACGATCTGGGGAAAAGCCTGGGCATTGATAAAAGGTGGTTGGGAAACCGGTGTCAGGTGATTGAAGGTCATAGGTGGATAATCGCTGGTCTGTGCTCATGAGTGATCACTTGTGCAAATCACAAAAAGCTCACGGTCTAATACAATATCAAGTGAACCAGAGAGTTTTCCGTGACAGGTGTCTCCGCTGTTGGGGGAAAGCTGTTTTTTTTTTGTTTTGAGCTTTAGATATGCCCGTTTATAACACTATCTCCTTGGTTCTAGTATCATAATAAGCAATAGTCTCTACCCACTCCAACCCCTCTAATCCCCAAGGCTCCCTCACAACGCAAACAAAGCCAGAAACACAGCCCCAAGAGCAAACCCACTCGGACTAATCCCATCCCCCGAATTCCGAGTCCCAGTGGTAGTGGTAGCCTTGGCCACAGTGATAGTGGCGGTAGCGGAAAGGGCGGTGGTGGAAGGAGCAATAGTGGTATTTCCAGATCCTCTAACGCCGTTCACCGGCGTCCCGGTAGGAACGTCGGGGCCACAAATACCCTCTGCAAAAGTGGTTGCTTCTGTATTTTTCCACCTCGTCAGCATCCTGCCTCGTGTAGAAAGTCGAGAAGGGGAAAGAGGGGGAGGAACAACTTTCCAACTCTTCACCGGTGCAACTCTTCCCAATACAGACACCGATGGTATCGGTGAATTTTTGATCGCGGCACATACATGGGTAGTCGTCGGACCGGCAGCCAGTCATCCCGGCGAAGGCAGTTACTGCACAGGCTGCCTAGTTTGGGCAGAGTGTTAGTGATGTATGGGAGTTTCGTAAAGGGGGGGGGGGGCGTACAGCGCAACGAGGGAGTCCTGAAAGATCGGGTCCCGTTGGAACAGCGCTAGTGTTTTGGTGGGAAGACACGAGCGTAATGAGCAAGGTGATGTTGAGGATAGGAATAAAGAAATGCATTTCGGGCACTACAAATTTCGAGACAAGACTGGTTCTTGATGATGATATGGTGGAATGTGGTGTTCTTTTGTAAGTGAAAAGGAAGAGAGGAGGATGCTTAGAGCATTAGGCTATATTGAATGAGTGAAGAATTAGGGATTTATAGGATAAAACTTTTATCCCATAGTATTTTTCGCTGGAGGGAAGAGGGCTGAAACTGCGAGGAACTTAAAAAAAATGCTATGGTAGAGGGAGGTCTTTGCCCTCTGGTGTACGAGGGCTGATTTCTATAGAATGGAGTTAATTAGCGGACTCCTATCTAAGTGCTATGGGTACAGTGGCTGTTTTACGTCGCGGAGTCGCCTGAGATCCTCGGGGTAGAAACACAGCGTTCACTATTGCTTGTATATCTAGATCTGCAGGCCAATGGTTGTAGCTTGGAGATATGAAAGAAAAGTGCTCGATAGCAAACTGATACCAATTGAGGAGGAAGATGTTCTTACTTAATCGTCTCCTCACTAGTTAGGCACCCCGAAATTGTTATAACGCATCAAAATCGTAGATAGTCACCTCAGATACAGCATCACTTGACTCGGGTGCTCACAGGTGATTACTACAACGACTCTCTAGTTCTACTTCTCCCCAAATATACTCTCCTTCAATAATCACAGTGTTAGTAAATCATTGATCTCGAAGTCGCCCAGTAGGGATTGATCATTGACCATCCTGAACTAACGGGCAATTCCGCAACGCCTCGCACCCTAGAAATCGCTCCGGGGTCACTCGAATATTGTTAGTTTTTCCGTAAATAGTGAGCATCTGTTTACAAATCCTGGTATCCCTATGAGAATACTCTTCCAGGCTGGTGTATGGGGCGGCAATTAGAAGAGTGCAAAACCCACTGCTATCTTCTGAACTCGAAAGAGGTTGAAATTTTCGTGTCGTCGCTGTCAGCTTCTGTTATATATTTCTAAGGAGAGGTTGACCCCCTGGCTGCCTCAGTGCAGTGCAAGCATTCCTTAGTGATTACCCGGGAATGCTCATCTGCCATAGGATTAGTCCTTAAGAGAAATAGTGGATGCCTTAAGAAGTTTAGCGGTGGGTCGAGTTTCTCTAGAACTTACAGTGGGGTATTACAGTTCTGAAGTCATTATTACACACCTGTGGAGTTTTGGCTAACACGCTGGACCGGTAGTGGGTCAAAGGGGGGGGCTGTATCAGTTAAAATGCACAGGGGCGGTAGAAATCCGAAAATCTCAATAGACGCCGAACACTCGGAGGACGAAACACAATAGAGTAGGAGGTATTCCTCGTAGCACATATGTTAAGACTACCCTTATTTGATTCTGTCGAAATTTCTGCAGTGGGGGGTTTGGGAATGGGGGGGTTCACATACAAAGTGATTCACTTCTGCGTCCGACCTTACCCGCCTTTCGCAGCGATGACGTTACCGTCTGTTTCCCAGAATGCGTA